TGGGAAGTCCCCACACCAGGAAATCTGCTTGCCGTTATTCATGTTCAGGAAAATGTCCCTTGCAGAAGACGTCGGTGGTGGGTCGGCGGGATTGTTAAATGCTTTTGTAGCGTTATGGGGATGTACAGCGGAGCCACATGCCTGTAAAGATTTTAAAAATAATAATTTTGATCAAAATACATATTGGTTGCCGGATTCTAACCAGTTACCATAGCGAGCACTGCACCAAGCGAAATGACGATCAGCATGATTATTCGTTGTCTTTATTGGAAAGGAAGGTTTCCTAAAAGCTGTAGTTGTTTGTCTTCTTATTTTGTAGATTTGGATGCGTATGATGCCAAGTGCCAGAACTCAGGGCCTTTATATATTCGATCCAAAGCCGTGTACGTGGTGTAAACACTTCTCAACAACTGAGTCGATGCATGAACAAGACCACGTAGCGTGGGTATTATCGGTTAAAATTGTATTAATATACTTGTTTGACATTTTTAATGGATTTGTCCCCATATGTAATTTCGAAGCTGGACTACAGAATGAGATGGGTGAATTGCATGGTGAAGTAAATATCTGTTCAAGGTTCATTGTAATGCAGTCAGGTTGGCTGATGCATACATGAATTTTAAATTTGACTAGAGTTGTGTTTGATAAAACGTGCCAATTCGTGAGACCGTGGCTTTTGGGATGCAACTTGGCTAATACAGGAAATGTCTAGAAGAAGCTTCTAGTCACATGTTTTTTAATTACGGTATGTAACTTATTTAATGATATATGACATAATTTTTATATCGACATGATCACGTAATTCTTAAAATTTCAAACCCCGTACAAAAATGACAAAAGTATCTACGGGGAAATTCCTCGTCGCCGATTCTTAATGTTGCGGACAGGTTAGAGGCCAGGATTATTTTTCTAAACAAATTTGCGGCGTCGAAAAAAACCTCGTGGATATTTTTTTAAATTTTCTAATATTTTTTTATCGAATGCGACATGCGTTTAGAAGAAAAATGAGCTTTGGTGAGACCATGTACGATTTTTTTACGCCCAAAAGAATTTTTCGCCAAGGGCAGGTTTGAGGTCTAAAATCGCTGGCGCGGCGAAAATTCGAAAACTGAAACAATGTTTGCATACGGACAGTCTTGATATCCTTGGTCCAAGAATTACACCAGAAACTCCAAATCAAGCATTTTTATTGTTGTTTCATTATACATGCATATATATATTAAACATAGAGAAAAATTACTGTATTTTAATTTTTTCGTCTGCAAAGAAATTAACTATCGTTCACCAGCATTCGACTGAAAGAAAATTCATACTCATTCATCATCAGTGGATACGTATCATAATCAGTTATATGAAAGAAAAAGGAGACGTATGTGTATGGTATAAATTGTATTTGGTCACATTTAATGTTAAGTTTATGTAGATGTAAAGTTGAAAAATATTGATTATTGATTAATATCAATTAGACACCCCATTTCTGGGTTATTACGCCTCAAGGCTTATTTAATAACATATAGGCTGTTGATGATTGTACAGATAACAATACCTTAACAATACCCTAACAATAGCCATATGTACCATTGTATGTGCAGACACAATAGAATTGGTCGCACTCATGGCAATCGTACCCGATCAAGTAGCATTCGTAGCGGCATTCATCGTCAGTATAGCCCCCACAACCATAACGGTTTTCGCCGTTGTTGATATTAAGAAAAATCTTCCCAGCTGAAGATTTAGGCGATGGGTCCGCGGAATTGTTCAATGCTTTTGCAGCGTTACGGGGATATCCAGGAGTGCCATATGCCTGCAAATATGAAAAAAATGGGAATAAGGCGAATAATTTTATGGAAATATTAGTTGCCGTATTGTACTTACCAAGACGACCATTGCTCCGAGCAGAATGACGAACTTCATGATTATTCGTTGCCTTTAGTGGAAAGGAAAGTTTCCTAAGCTGTAGTAGTAGTAGTAGTTGTTTGACCTCTTATTTTGTAGGTTTGGTTGGATGCGTATGATGTCAAGTGACAGGAATCAGGGCCTTTTTATACCCGATGCAACATCAGATTTAAACGGTGTACGCGGCGTAAATATGTAAACACTTTTCAATAACTGAGTTGATGCACGTCAGCACTATCGGTTGAAATTGTGTTATGGTGCGATTACTAAAAAGGTAGGTTAGCCGGCCATTAACTTTCCATATAAAAAGTACCCTCCTTTTAATGTTCACACCATAGTACATATGGTTGTTTGGTATTTCGACTGGCTGGATTTGTACTTCGGAAGCATCACGACATTGCGAGATTATCCATCAATTGTATGGGACACAATATGTACGTATGTATAATAGAATACATTATGTATACGCAGATTCAATAATATAATACGGTCAGGTAAGCAGTTGTACATATATATGAATTTGAAATTTGCTTACAATTAAACATGCCAGTTTTAACATATTGGGAACGTGACTTTTGGCATGGAATATAAATACTAATATAAATACTTACTAACAATGCGATGCATCGCGATGGTGTGAAGTGTAACGCTCCAATTTGGTTGAAATTTTGAAATTACGTGGTCCACATTAATACAACCAACGTTTCTTCAGACAGTTTGTGCGATGGTCAGAAGTTGCTGAAATATTTGCGTACGTATTTATTTATTTTATATGTATGTACGAAGATCGTGTATAGGATTCGGATTGCATAAAGGATAGTAAACAAGCCCTAAAGGAAATCTGTGTTGTGTAAATTTTCATAATTTATTCAATATCAATAGTAATTGAAATACAAACAAAAACGATTTATGGTGTGTCCCATATTAAGTTGGAAGATGACATATGACCTGTTGAATTCGACCTGCTGAAAAGATTTTTATAAAACCTTCGGGGTAGTGTAGGTGAGAAGCATATCAAACAGTTTTTGTCCCGGGAGATTTTTTTACTCCATTCTTGGCCACCAATCCGGATTTCTGCAACAACCCTGGAATTCGTGATTTTCACTCACTTGCCAAATGTCCTTGCTGATTTTTCGCAGTTAACGTTCGAATTCCTCCAACTTTTTCGCCTTGGAGCGAAGGTTAGAGTACCTTCTTATGCACAAAGCCAAAATTTCTCGCAAGTAGGGACATTTGCAGGGTTTTCGGTTTTAAGGGTATCTTTCCCAATGTTAACCGTGGCATGACTAACTAGGAATTTTCCAAGGATTTACTTTTCATGAACAACTTCCGTTGATAATCTATTATTGCCAAGGCTGCCTGCGTGAAAAGATGCGGTTCCCGAAGTCTTTCATAGATCGGGGTCGACTTGGGTATCTTGTTTATTGATGATAATTTTTAATGACAATTATTAACACATTCTTTTGAAAAATTTTTGGACGGTGATTTTTTGGTCGTTAACGTACTTTAGGCAACTTGGCTTATTTTTTCCATCATCCGCAATTTATATACTTTCAGATTGCACACCAAACTTTTTAAAATTTTCAGCTTCCGAGCGGCGGGACAAGTTTACAGCGACGAGTTTTTGCTGATGAGTATTTTGATGGCTTTAACATTTTGACGAGTGGCTGTGACGAGAAGTGGGCCAGAATGATTTCCGAATTTAACCGTTTGTCATCCATATACTTCCAAATATAAAGGGTGATTGTCGTTTTGGGACATCTTTCCGTTTTGCAGTACTGCGACGTCTTTTTCGAGTCACGTCAGGCTACAATTTAAAGCCAGTGAAAATCACTAATTCGGGGCTTGCTGCGGAAATTCGGATTGTTGGCCAAGAATGGACAAAAAAAATCCCCTGGGACAAAAACTGGTTGGTATGATTGCCACCTACACTACCCCGAAGGTTTTATAAAAATCTTTTCACCAGGTCGAATTCCACAGGTCATAGGGTATCTTCCAACTTAATATGGGACACACCATATGTATGTATATATATATATACATAACCATATATGGTTATATGTCATAAACGGTAATGATTAGACGACATGTACTTGTGGAAAGAGGACAGTTTATTACAGTAGCGAAAGACGAAGTGATGTACAATGTGTTGGATAAAACGATGATCTAATGTTAGAATAATTAGGTTAGCTATTTCCAATAGCCTTTTCCATAACGGATGTTTATGATGCCGACTTTTATTGGACCTCTGCACAGTGTCAGCTCATTCTTTGCATTCCCATTCTTGGGAGTAGGATTTAGCACTTCCTTTCTATTTAGGTCAGACACTTTGGAAAGTGTCGTGAGGAACAGTTTCATACATTTATTAATACATATTTTATTACTCATGATGTCTATATAATCATGTTGCATGTTGACAATAAATAATCCGTCGATTGGCAACCGTCGTGTTGTATCGTTGTTCATTATTTACCACACCATGTACGAGATTCGCAACTAATTATTTCTACATTGGCATATTATTTTTATTTCCAAGTTTATGCAATATGCAACAAATATAAATGAACTGTGCAGAAAATGTGATAGATTTGAGGGGTAGGGGAGGGGACAAGGGATCCTACCCATTGTTAATTATAACAATGTTATAATTAACATGGAGCATGCACGACACAAAAGGGGGGAAGGGGGTCAAAATCCTTCAGCCACATGCTTTATGTACGACCCCTAATTTATTTGCCATTTCTTCATCAGCAACAAGGACACGGTTTGGGTAATGCAAAAATTTTGCGTGATTAAAGGCGTCCCTTTGTCGATGAAATTTGACCCGAATTTGATCATCAATGGTTTCAAGGAGGTGAGCTCCCTTCGTTTGACAAAACCCTTCCTTCCAGGCGCCTATTATCCGAACCGATTTCGTGTTCAAGATACCCGCCCTCGCTTAGCAGGTTGTCCCGACACTCTTGACATGGGGTGGGAAAGTATCGTCACTTGTATGTAGGAGCTTTTGCAGCATAGTGTGTGCAAAAACTGATGAGATCAAGGTCCCACGTCACCATGTTAAAGTTTCTGTGAATGTTTCCAATAAAAAACCACCTAATCTCGATAATTTTATTTATTATTTATATTTGTAGTTCAAAGAATGTTTATTAAGACGACATGAGTGAATTATCCGTCATTCGTGAAGAACTTGTAGAACCAGGCCACATTCGTAAATCCGGAAGGTATTCCCTGCGCGCAGCCCATGCCACTTACGTAGGAAGCCACACCCGCGAGACATTTTGAAGAACCAGTCCCACAAACTAGCGGGCCACCGGAATCGCCGAAGCCTGCGCAAGAAAAAGAAGCGGGATTTCTTGAAATATTTATTATACTAATTTTTATGCCCAAACTTGTAAATTAATTTGGCTTGACCTTAAACTTACTTTAGAGAAATTGTTATGTTGGAGGTAACAAATATTTGGTTCGTAAAAGTGTGGAAATAGTTTTTTAAGGACTGCATGGTAATAATTTTTTTAGAACAGCGGCAACAGCGGTAATATTTCTTTCACTGAGCAGCAACAGTTTAGCAAAAAAAATATATCATCCGGCCGTAAGATGAGTATTTACTACTATGGCGATGGATTGGTAATTACGACTGCTTTGGGTGTAAGCTAGCGGGCTTTACTTTTTTCTAACTTGCACAGCCACACTTAAATAAACCGCCTATGTACTCTAAATACTTACAAATGTCTTTGCCAAAAACTCCTCCCGCGCAGATCACATCTTCCTCTAGAGGTCCGTACGATCTTTCGCAAACTGGGCGGGAAACTATGGTCATATTGAGTTTTTGAAGGGGACCTTTCCACCTAATACCGTCAGGGTTTGTGCGCCCCCATCCAGTCGCGGTACAAACGGTGCCAGGCGCAGGCTCCACCTCACAGAGGGGCATTGCTTTGACCGCGGGGTTTAGTTCAAGGGGTTCCGTAACCGTTAAAATGCATGCATCATTAGTTTTGTAATATCTGTGGGGATACAATTCCAAGTTAGTAAGTAAGCATAGCAACGAATTTATATACTCTAAGGAACTGGGTATTACTATGTGACAATACCCATTGGTATTGATCTGGTAACGAAATAAACCTTATGTAGTATTAAATTAATACTAATAGGCATTAAATTGTGTACCACGCAGTACTAATTTAGTACCAGATCAGGGTAGAGTCACACAGCAATACCGGGTTTATTCATCTTTTGAAGACTGTGGTGACAAAGTGGTAGTAACAACTCTCCAATTAGGTAACAATCTGCAGCCCTGTAATGACTACGTGGAGATGATTACCTTACTGAGCATTGTTCATACAAATTGTTGCCAAACTGTGACAATAATTTCCACTAAGTTCATTTTGTTACCATGTACCATTAATCAAAATTGTTTGTTTGTTTGAAAAACGTTGAAAAAAATTATCCTTACTGATCGTATCCGTCATAAATGCGGGGACGATTAACGGATCTCCTTTGTTGATTGGGCTCACTGGAATTTGCTGCCACGTGTGCGCCCGCCACGACGCGAAGGTCGCTCCATGTCGTTAAATAGTCTTCACAGCAATGAGCCTAAAGTTAGTAGCAGATCGTTACATAAATCAGAGAATGACTACAATTTGTAGTTAAATTGACAATATTATCGTTCAAATGAAAATTTCATTGCTTCCAGTTACTTGATCCAATTAAGTACGTCAAAGAATTTAGTAATTTGGACATTATTTCAAGAATTTGGTAGTAAAGAAGCAACTCTACGAGGTTAGGATTTATTGCCATATTATGTATTTTTTCAATGTATGTAATTACCGCCGTTGCGATTTTTACATCGCTGAGAATCGTGCCGCCACAAATGTGCCACCCACGATCCTGGAGAGATATTTGATAAGGAAATTCGTGCGGCTTCGCGTCCGTGCCTCCTACTATTTTTCCTGAGGAATTTTCAGTTTCGGTTCGAAACAGAATGCTCCCTGAACAATGCAAGAATTAGTTTTATTGTATTTGTATTGTGTTTTTTTTATTATTTTTTACCAATTCGTGCTGTACATGAATTTGATAAAACGCGAACTAATTTACCTCGACAGATATCCACAGTTGTCAGGGAGAATATAAATAAAATTATTTTAGATTGCATGATACAAGTCGAAAAATAGGTGAAGTTTTCAAGGTAAAAACTTGTGTAAGCAAGTGAGATAGATGGTTTGATTGTAAAACTTTTTATAAAATGGGGTAAAATTACCCCACTTTTATAGTCGATTGTACGTGATATACGGCACGAGTAGTGTAATTACGAGATAACAAGATTCTTTTCTCTTGCCCGATAACAATGTCAACACCTGTTGCAGCTTTTTCGGACATAATGCCGAAAATAACTTGCCTGAAATTACTCACGTTCCGGGCCGATTTTCTTTTATATTAAATTGAATATGACGTTCAATATACGTGTCAAGAAGACCATACCTCTGGGCTTTTAAATAATTTAGTAGTAGTCTAACGTGACAATTATACATATATTTCGCTTATTTGGGGGATTTTTTGAAACGGCTATAAACAACAGCAAAGTATCAATTTTATGCAATTCTGTCATTTTTTATTTTTTCAAAATATAATTTTAATTGTAATTTCAATGCTGCACAATTTTCAATGGAAACATCTGCATGCGAATAAAGAGTAAACAAAATCATGCAGAAATGTTTGTCACATACATGTTTACAAATGCTTGGAAATTTGCAGAACTATGTACACTACTCCCAACAGCAAAGTAATGCTCATTTCTCACCTATTTGTGCAGATTACATAAATTTTGAATAACAATTTTGTTTGCACATTTCAAAATTTGTACAATAATTCTAAGCATTTTCCCTCATAAAAATACGTGACCCTGAACATGAAACTCGCATTGAAATATTCCTTCGGATCAGTATACATAGCGTGTGACGTATTAAGCAAGGAGTTAGTTTGAAAAAGTTTTTACAGCTACATACATTAACCATAACTTAAATAGGAAATTTATATTTGCAGAATTATTCATCTTCAATTCTGGAAATTTCGACACCCAAACGATCAACACCATGAGTATGTATGTTATGTATAACTCTATCCACCTGGTTATTGGTGGTCACAGTGGCTTCCCAACTTTGCGAAGCTTACGTACATAAGTAACCAACAAAAAATTTCAAAAATTGTAAAGAATCTGAACATTGTATTATTAAATTTGCAGATATCTTGTGATTACTGTGACGGACTCCAATGTGTTGCAGTTATCAAGGAAAAATGTGTCGGCATGCGAAACCGGCAGACAACGTCGTAACGGCGTGGCGTTCGGGTTATGGGCAATTGTCACAATATACCTAGTGGAACCGCGATTGCCACGTGTTTTGGAGATGGGACAACCTACAATTCTGGAAGTTACAAACACGCATCTTTATTGGATGCGAAGGGTCCGGGTTTCGAGTGCATGACCAATGGGTGGAAAAGGGGAGATGTACATCTCGTCCCTTGTACCCTTCAGGGTCGCTACCAAATGGGGCATGGAATTTTTCGACGATTGAATAAAAGGGGGAAAAGTCGGAATCCAGTTATCTAAATCTGGGGACAATGATATACATGTAAATTTGTTTCCCTGCAAGCGTAAATAAATTTGTAAAAATAATTAATGCTTTCCGATGAAATTTGAAATCATGCAATTTAAATATAATATGCAATGGGTATGAAAATGCTCAAAATTTGATGGAGAATAATAAAATATTACTGTATTTCATATAAAACCTAATTTACACGAAGTATGTAGTTTCAGATTGGTCTATTTTTAGCAAGAAGGAAAAAAGGCACACATTTTTACATGCCAAAAAGGCAATTACAATTTTGTAGGCTGAAAAACAGGACTGCCTGCGTTTTTGCTCTGCACACTCTGATTCTGACCATATTCTGATCATATTATTGACAGCATACATAAATCGATAGATATGGGTATAGATTTTCATCACTGTCAGGCCATTGCTTGTTATTTCGTAAGGCAAATAACAAAAATGTCAGATTTTCAGCGACTAAATAATTATCAATCCGACTCCGAAAACTCGGTTGAACAACCCCCACAAAGAAGCAAAAACGTAATCACGAATGGAAAAAGATCCAAACATTTCAAAATATTGAAGAGGCGAAATTACACATTACAACGGCACAGAAACTGATAATCCAGACAGTACATAAATTGTATCAAATTACACCATCAGTTTCAAATTTGCTGATTTCAAAATCATATACTTGGGCACGGCGGGAGAAGTAGGACTTCGATTTACGAACCTTAGGATTAGAGAATCCATGCAATGTATTCCACCAGCCGGAAATCAACCGTGCCAATAATATTGGTACCGTTGTACTCACAAAAATTACCTCTACAAACTGCAAATCTTAACAAAATAATTTCCTTTTCTGTCTCTCGAAATTCCGGTTTACGTTATTGCTGCTCTTTAAAGAGGTGCCCTTTTTAAATGGACTGAAACGATTATGAACGTCCCACTTTGTACAGATCATGTGCTACCAATTATGTTACAGCGTCCCAAGTAGAAGAATCACATTGTGACAATTGATATATCATATTTTGGACAGTGAATGACGGCAGCTTTTTGCAAGTTGACATAATCTTAGAAACTTGACTTTGCTGAAATGTGATTTTGGCGTTTATAACAAATCACGTTTATATTGCCAAATATCACACTCCTTGCACATGGAAATATCTGTCTTACTTTACAAAGTGAAATCCTCCAAATTATGAAGCGAAATCTTCCAAATTTTCAGTGCAACTTAATTATTTTTTCTATATTTTCTTAAGTTATTCTAAATCCTGTACAAAGTCAGAGAAGTTCGTGTGACGCATTCATAAATGATTTAAAAAACTATGTTAAATTCAGATTAAATTGAAGTTTCTTCCGATATCCAGATTTGTGAGGATAAACAATTGCATCCAAATGTTTACTTTCTTCCAACCTCTTCACGTTTTCCACAAGTGTCACACTCTCGCCGTGCAGAGATCCTCCACCACCAACTCGTCGACGAAGTGTTTCACCACGAAGACAAGGTACATCTGAATTCCAAAGAAAGCCGCGTAAACTCCGAGGAGAATAAGGCCACCCCCAATTTCCCCAGAGATGGCCAGGCTTATAAAAAAGGCCGTCATCCCGACCGCGATGAGGAGAAGGGAGACGTAATTCCAGTACAACCAGGGCAGTATGAAGCGGTGATTTCGCTACAAAAATAAAAACAGAAACGTTCAAAATTGGTTGCAATACGTCGGTTATGAATGAAAAATGACTTTTTCCATTTATTGACCTACAGTCGCCAAACTTTCTGAGAATGTTTATGGTCAATAGTAGGTCACGTAGGTCAAAGCATATTTTCTCATATTGGTCATATTTTCGGGTTTTGGGACATATTCATATTCCCGATCATATTTCGGGCTTTTTTCGTTCATTTTATCATTTTTTTGCCAAATTCTAAGACTTGGCAACCGAATGGACAGAAAATGACAAAAATTCAGTTTTCTCACAATGATTCATTGTGACAAACTTTCAGAAATTTACGTTCACTTTCGCCTAAGGTGATTTAATTCATCGGGAATGAATTAAATCACCCTGGAACTTGTTTAATTGGTCAAAATTGAACATTGCAAGAAAATATGTCAAAAAATTAAGCCAAAAATTTCAAAAATAAAGTCATTTTTATGGTAATATTTTGGGGATTTTTACGGTCATTTTTCATTAATATTTTGAGGTTTTTTCGGTCATTCATACCCGACGTCTGCTGATTTACAGAGGCCGGATGTAAAACCTGACTTACTTTGTGACACCCGTGCACTAGAAGGCACGCCAGGAGAAAGTATATCGCGGAAAAGGATATGTGGACATAACCCAGCGTGATGTAGCGACTAGCTGCAATTTATGAAAGGACAAATAATTATTCCAGTGGAATCACTCTGCGAACTTCCATATGTTATGTCATCATTTTAGTGAGTGGGTGGATTCGACCCTACTTCCATTTCCCTGGTTAAAATTCTCCATCCCTTACATTGAGGGGTGGGTGCTAAGATCGAAAATTTTTGATGACTTAATACATGGATAGCCACTCTGCGCGCTGGTTTTGAGCTACGAGAATGGAAAGAAGCGAAGATACATAAACTGTGTTTTAGGTTACTTAAGTTCATCACATGGAGTACATTAGCCGAATGAGCCGAATTATTATATTATTTGACACCGCTTGTTTTTATTTTGCAGTTTAAATTGTTCAATTTCTTATGATCTTCAAAATCAAAATAAGTAGTGTAAATCAAAGTAAGTAATAAAGTAATTCGGCTCATTCGGCTAATGTACGCAAGGCGGGCAACTCTTAAGTATGTAACTTGAAACGGAGTTTAATGTCAGCAACTAATAATAAAAATTATCAAGAATGCATACGATTTTCGTAGAAAGCCGGGTCCGTAATCTGATCGGGATGAATTACCATTAAGTTTACGGCTAACGAGTTGAAAATGATGAAAAGGATGCACCCCACCTAGAAAGAATTATTATGTAATTAATTAGAACAATGATGGATAAAACTCGTAAGCTTCGAGTTTTGAATATTCTCCCGCCAAGTAACAAATACTTTATTTTACAGTGTGAATACATAAATTCTAGTAATTTCTTAAATTCTAAGAATTTCAAAAGCAAAGTGTGACAGCTAAAGTGGGAATTTATCCCACAACTTCTCACTAAACCACCCTTAATACGTAAATGTTCGACATTTACGAGTTAATCAATTGTTTTCGACTTCACATTATGATATTTACGCATTTAGTAATTCTTACAATGTTGAAAATTCCGATGGCCAGCGTTCCCTGGCCGACTGAACAGCATCCACAGCAACACGTTTCCGTCGACATTTTGTCCTCAAATGTGCTAACAATTTCGTGTCAAAGAAATCCTAGTGTAAAATCTATAAATACGTATCTTAGAAATTTTCTATCTTGCGAATTATTGATTATTTGTATATAAAGTTAAGAGGAAATATGTAAATATTTGCGTGCTTCGGGTAGCCCGGCTTAACACAAAGTGATAAAAAATTAGTAGCCACAAAACCGTTTTGTTGCATAGTCTTCTAGTCAATGCGTCAATCATTTCCATGCCGACGTAACTGGGTGACAAAGACTTTTGATTGACACAACTACGCTACGAGATTCAGACAGTGATACATACGTGCAGGATAACATGTCGTGATGGGTTGATGCTAGTTAACATCATAATAATAATATTTTTATTGTTGAATAAAGGGATGTTTGCTCATGTTGGTATTCTAATGTAAATATTCAAGTTTATTTATTTCTGATGAATGATACTATTCTTTATCTCATTAGTTATTCTGGGTAAAATCCTACGTGCTTATAATTTCGTCGAGATATGTATGTGAATTTTTTTTCGCGCAGGCACGAATGCAGCATCTTTAATAAAGATGCCTTAAGATTCATTATGTAAATATTTATGTATGTATATTGGTCTACGATTGTTTTATGAATCTCGTCACACCTCAAGGTTGCATTTTTTAAGTAAGTGAGAGATTGTTTTGCATGTGAAACTTCTGGCGGGCAGTCGGGGGGAAAATGCACTGCAAATTTGGAAATTGAAAAATTTGCCAGCCTTGGGGATGCGTTTTCTCCTCTTTGTATGCAAACCTGCGCATTGGCAGGTATGTAGTTCCATTTGCAAATTTCATACTAATTATATTTCTGACCGATTGACACTAGTTTGGTTCAAATCCGTGAGTATACGTTGGGAGACCTCCATTATAAGTACCACTGCCTCGTTGGGGTCTATGACACAAATTACAGAATTGGGGGTGTCGAAAAACAACTCAAACTTTTAAAAACAAAAAAATAATGGAGATACAGCAGAAGAGATTTGTTGCTCACTCATCTTTTCCCTTCATTATGTTATGATTATTACTTACATATTATTGCACTCTATTAAAACCTTACAATTATTTAGTGCATATTTTGCATTAACATGTGTAGAAAGCGTGCTATATATGTATTTACTGGCTTCCTAAACTTGGTCCTGCACACGGAAAAATTACTGCATAAATATAAATATAATGCTATAAATGTTATTATTAATAAAATATGTTGTCGTGAACAAGCTCAGTATTTCATGCTAACTTTTTACCATGCGAATAATGGTTAAATCGATTAAGTTGTTCAAATAATAACTTGAAGGAACTTGAATTTTATTTATTTATTATTGCTGAGAGTGCTATCAATTTAGTTATTTTCTTCGCTTCTGTCTTACTAGAAATTTGTAATGAACCTCTAACGTACTAAAAATCTGAAAGTGTGTAATTGGTTGAGAAGGTGTAAAAAAAAAAAAAAACCTTTATTACAACCACGGGACCCCACGAATGGGCCATTACCCAGGGAGGGAGAAGAGTACCTGAGCTTGGCAGCGGGGAAAAACGAGAAAAACCCAAATTACACTAGAATTGTGTCATACATATCTTTATGTATCATGATCAAAGGGCGGATAAGTGTGTCCATAAATTCGGTAAAAGGTATGTATTTTTATGTGCTTCAAAAACCTGAAGATATGCAAATAAAAAAATGAGGAGAGGGCAGTTTATTAGAGTAACTAAGGACGGAGTGATGTACATATGTAGAGATTCACAAATCAAAACTAATTATGTCTACATAATATGTAATGTATGTACCTAACAATGAGCTTTTTATTTCCAAGTTTACACAATACGCAATAATTTTTTTACTATTTCTTCATCAACAACAAGGACACGGTTTCGTTAATACAGAAGTTTTGCGTAATTACTAAAAGGTAAAGGTAAATTGGTAAAGGCGTCCCTTTGTCGATGAAGTTTGACCCGAATTTGATCATCAACGGTCTCAGAGAGGTGATCTCGCTTCGTTTGATTTTACTCTGACAAAATCGCTCCTTCCAGGCGCCTATAATCCGAACAGATTTCGTGTGCACGATGGCAGCCACGGTTTCATACATGATCAAGGTCGACGCGGGTGTTTTGAATCCTTCCAGGAAGAGGGCAACTAGCTTCTTACTATCATGCGAGAAGACATGCATTATGATTGAATATGTAATTTACTAAACTCTAAAAACATTTAAATTAATTTTTTTTATTACAAGTTTTTAATTTTTTATTATAAAAAAATTGGAGCGTTACACTACACACTATCGCATTATTAGTTTATCTGATAAGGATAACCCTATGTAAAAGCACGAGCCTGGAATTAATGTTAATGAACGTATGTGTCCATATAAGTATTGAGTAACTCATACATACATATGTGGTGCCTATTAGCAATAATGCAATACCATTGCATGTTCAGTATATGTATTTTTGTTTAATATTCAATGTTATATTATTGAATTTAGTTAAAGAATGTCAAAAATAGACTCTGGGAATCAGTACTTGCATCAATTGTTTTACTTTCACTTTGATCTTATCGTAAGAAATGTTTGTATTTCAGGAAAAACATTCACAACTAACGGTTTGATGAAATCCTTATACAAATTGCTTTAACGGCGAAAAATCTACTTTAATCTTGAGTTTGCTTGGGGATACAAATTTGGACTTGGTTTCTGCAGTTTTCTGTTCCTTTTCCATTTCCTTCTAAATCGACAATGAAGAGAAACATTTCGAACATGAACAAACGAACCTTCAAATTTTAGACGAATCGGGGCAAAATCCTGTACCAAAAACAAGACAGCGCCTACGACAAGTAAGAAACCACACAGATAACACATGGTCTTCAAAGCCTGTAGGGTTACCGGGTTAGCTTCATCAAAAAATACTTCCTTCGGTAACCTGTACGGAGTTGAAACATGGTTTTCCTAAGCATATCACCCTTCATGGTACTTTTAATATGCGGAAGCAAGATGTTTTTTCTTTGCAGCATTGTCCACCTCTGGTAAAGGCCACCTTGCCAAAGCCGTCCTATTCCGATCGATACTAACGGAAAAAGCCACGTCCTCTTCATCATTAATGGCATAATTGAAAACAAGGGAATATCGTTAAATGATTTCACCCACAGGGTTCTCTTGGTTCTTAGGCCGAAAATGAAGTCTTCGACAAATGGTATTTCATCTAAAATGGCAAATGTTTCTGGTAACTTTCTTGTACTTCCATTAAAGTTGTATGTTTGTAAATTAGCAAGCTGGACCCCGAAAAGGAAACTATTTTTGGTGGGAATAAACATGCTGCTATGCAATAACTGGGTAAGCATTTTGTTCACATTTTTTGAATTATTTTGGTTATCAATTGAATCCCGTATCGTATACAGAGACATTGAGTTAAGGAGATCACCAACAGAGTAAATTATTTCGGTTGTGATTATTTGCAATTTTAAGCCTAACAGAGCACTGGTAGACCTGGGAAGTTCCGGCGGTGCGCTAGTAATTAGGGAGGAGAATAACGAACTTGGTAAAACTCGGTCCCTATCAAGAAAAAGAAGCAAATTGAACGAAATATTAAAATTTTCGAGCGTGGCATCATCCTCCAGATGTCACCAGCCCCGCCATACTGCCCAACCAGGCAGGCATACGTCCAAAATAAAGCAGTAGCAAATCGTTGTCTGACTGCGTCTATTTTTGTAACTCCTATAACGGCAGTTAGTGCAACTATCGTGTCCAGGGTACCCACTATGTTTTTTTAGAATCTACTTGGACCCCAGATGAAGGATTCATTCATATTTCCGTGTAAAACTCATATTTGGCGTCGTGCCGTGGCGCCAAATTCGCCAAATTTGAATGTTTTTATTTTTGAAACCGCCATAACTTTTGAAATCCTCGACGGATTTTAAAAATTTTTGGCAAAAATCATGACAAGGAGTTCAACTTTCGTATTCCATGAAATTTTTTCCAAAAATATCGGTTTTAACTTTTCGCAAAATTTCGTAATTTTCTAACAAAGGGGGTTCGTCGAAAAAATGCTAAAAATATCTCAAAAAATAGAAATTTCTGATTTTTATTTTTTTCTTGAAAATTTCGACTTTTGTGATCATTTTGAGCATAAAATTTTGAAAATCCGACATAAACTGCAAACGTTATGAAGGTTTGAAATTGGTCGAAAATGCAAATTTTTAAGCTTGGCGCCACGCCATGGCGCCAAATATGAGTTTTACACGGAAATATCAACGAATCCTTCATCTGGGGTCCCAGTAGATTCTAAAAAACATAGTGGGTACCCTGGACACGATAAGCAGTCGGGGACCTTCCCTTGTTAGTGAGGCAGTGCCTAATAAATAAAATTAGATTGCAAAATTTTTGCATCACCGTCTTGGTACTTCGATATTTCGTCTTATTCGGAGCGGTGATATAAAAATTTTTCAATCTAATTTTATTTATTAGGCACTGCCTCACTAAGATTTCCAAGTTTTTGGAACCTTGTTTATTTCTAATTAATATTGCTATCTCTTCCTCGTGACTACTTCCCATGACCAGTGGAGGTCGCTCCTATAAAAATTTCGAAATTCAACCCTCCTACATGCTAATCACAAGTTATTTTTTTTTTTTTCTTATTCCATTCTAAATTTCAACTGATTATATCAACTTTTATAAATCGATATGGGTTACCCCCTACTGCCACTCTGGTTACTTTTTGTTAATATTTTACTTCGTATTATTTCATGAGAAAGCACTGAGGACCACTACAAATTTCAGCTTTTCAAGTTAATTTCTCAAAATCGTAGGGGGTGTCCCCATAGGGTCCCTCCGGATGAAAAATTTTCTAATTTCAATTTATACCCTTAAGAGCCATAAACAACTTCCATGCAAAATTTCAGCTCGATATGACGACTTTTAAAAATCTGCATGGGTCACACCCTAGGGTACCCCCGGTTGAAAAATTTTCCAATTTCACTTCATATTCTTTCATTAGAAGCCATTAGCAATCTCTGTACCAAATTTCAGCTGTCTATGACAATTTTGAAATTGTGGTGCATAATTCCCCACCTACTCCGATGACCCCCACTGGTCAACCACTTGACCGGTTTCGCCCATCATCGACCTCATTTCCTAACTTTGTCCAATATGCATATGGTGAAAATTTCAGGTCAATCGGTTCAGTCGTTTTGGTTTCATCGTGTAGATGGGCCGGACGGGCGAATACGGACGGACATGAGGGTTCCATAAGCCCAGACTCGGGCTAAAAACTAACTTTCAAGAAAACAGCAGAGTTTTGTTGACCACGGGGTCGCATGACGACAGTCTCCTTGGTCTTTTTATAATTTTTCCCAAATATTTTGCAAAATTTTCAAAACCCACACCACTTTGACAGGCTAAAACTACCAGAAGCGAGCATTACGTTTCTTAGCTTTTTTGCACACGTACAGATGAGGATATGACTGATTTTATGACAAAAAAGCTAAGAAACGTAATGCTCGCTTCTGGTAGTTTCAGCCCGTCAAAGTTGACATTATCACCTCCTTGTACGGTACTCATCTTTGTCAGTTCGTATCAACGTCAAAATTTGCATAAATTGATAGTCTATTCAACCGAAAATGCAAAATAAATAATTTGGCGTTTATAAAATACCACGAGTCTGGCCATAGGCAGCGAACGAAATTGAACCAAAAATAAACGATTTATTATGCATATTGAGTTCAAACGTACACAAAGGGACGTTCGTAAACTTCACAAAGGAAAGAGGGGGTGGTTGAGTGATCAAGGATATCGTGCCTATGTCACAAGGGGGTGAGAGGGTGTAAAAAATAAGTCATAAATTTTACGAATGCCCTTAATAAATATGTAGGTACATAAATATGTAACTATTTACAAATCCAACTTTGGCTCTTTGTTCATGAACGTGCTTTCATAGCAACAAAGTCAAACAGCTGCTTTTAAGGGTCGAGAAATATCGGATGCAGTTGGGTTAAAAGCTGGGGGGCCCTGCATAATGTGTCCTGCAATACGGGGACATTTTTTGGCAAAATTTTTTTTTCCATAATATCCAGTGTTTGGCGAAAAAATTGGACACAATAAGTCCTTGGGGGTTCAGATATGTATCACCGAGTATTTAGAAAGAGCCAGGAAAGGCAATTAAGTAAATATTACATATGCACGTTACTGGTATTGTATTTAAACTCGGTTTCATATTTGGTGATTTCATCACATGGAGCACATTAGCCGAATTATTTTATTATTTGACACGAGTTATTTTTATTTTGGCGTTTAAATTATTCAATTTCGTATGATTTAAACGCCAAAATAAAAATAACTGGTGTAAAATAATAAAATAATTCAGCTAATGTGCTCCATGTGATGAAATAACCAAACGTGAAACGGAGTTTATGTGCTAAAATCTACGTTTTCTTCAATATTTTGGCTAAAAAGTGAGGCAATGTAGTTTTTCTTAGGATTTTAGAAATCGGGACACTTCATTAAAACCAGAACATTTTGCCGGTTTTGAAAAACGGGACGTACATAGTGGGGTCATAAGTTCTCGTGAATGCATTTCCGGTAATAAATCCCAAAGTATTAGAGCTATCTGTTCGAAATTTTTATGGATTAACAAGGTATTAATATTGTTTAGAAATCATAACTTCTTTGTCAAGATTTCGTCCACGGGCAATTAGACAAGACATAACTCGTGACGGCCACAGGTTGATCGTGGTACGCGCCAATTTTCGTGCAAAAAGTATTTCAGACTTTTCACCGTTGGCAAAAAATTTAATAGAAAAAAAGGCCATATATTTGTTGTACAGAAGTCTGACATCCGTTTAAGTATGCGGAAGTCAATACGAAGTCATCACCGTGGTGTGCATGGGAGCAAGTTGGCTGGAGAAATGAAATCTCTGTTTTTTACCGCAAAGGGTACAAGTTGAAGCCAAGAATTATTTTCAGAGTGTCCTAAAGCCAAACGTTAATAACCTGAACCCTGGACCCTCCGAAAATCGACATTGGACCTTTCAACAAGACCCTGTTCCTGCGCAAGGTGCAAAATTCTCCAAAACTGGCTTCAGACGAATTTTCATGACTTTTTTTCATCCGTAGAACGGTGCTCAGTATCTGCAGACCTTAATCCCCTAAATTATGACTGGTGGTGAAAATTATAGGTACAAGCATGCTCTAAATTTCACCCAAGTGTGGAAGGGCTGAGGTCGCACTTACTGAAGATCTGGCGCTTTTCCCTGGAAATCCGTGCGTGCCGCGATCGAGCAGTTTTCGCCACGACTTATGTCTTGTGTACAAGCCCGTGGAGGAAATTGTGAAAACGAAGTTATGATTTCTAAACAAGATTAATACCTTGTTCATCCACAAAAATTTCTATCAGATAGCTCTAATACTTTGGGCTTTATCACCGGAAATGCATTCACGGGAACTTATGGTCGGACTATGTATGATCATCCTAAGCATCTAAAGCTTGGGAAACAAATATGTTTTGACTTTGGTAAAGGTGGACCAAAATAAAATAAATATCACATTCTTTCTGCACCGCCTGAAGAACATCCGGCGAACATTACTCATTCTATCCCTCCACACATGATCGTGTCCCCTCTCGACTGGAGAGTGAAAGTTAAATAAAATTGCACGCATTTCTTCTCAATAAACTAATATAAATTGAAATAAATTCATTTCGTAAACCGAGATTGGTACGCATCAGCTACATACAAAAAATTGTCAATCGTTCAAAATAAAATTAGTAAAAGTTTTGTTTTTCTACATATTTTGCAAAACAAAAAAATATTTTTTCCAAAAAATAGGAAATTTTGAAGCAAGTTAGCTATTGTGAAATGGACTCTCCTCCAACGACCATAAATCTTGCACTGGGCAACCCCCTTGTACGTGAGATATAATAATTTTAAAATTTCTTAAAGAAGCATGCAAATTGTATTTATGTATGCAAAAATGCAATTTATGTCATAATTAATGTGCAGATTTTGACCGCAATATTAAAACAGAACTCAGCCCCGTTAAGAAATTGTCGATTAGTTTCCCACTTTTGGAACGATATCGTCCTCTCCCTTCAAAATACAAGATTCGCGCTCAAACTTCGCCGCAACGGGGACGAAAATGTTGACCACGATCCTGTCCCTTTTTTCGACACGTGCTTCACCTTTGACCCCCGCCTCGCGAAACGGGTCAATGCCGCCACGTGTTGCACAGACGCGTTGCACTCGCTCGCTGCGATCTACTCATTTGCCGCTAAACTGCTCCACTTAAGTGAGAAATTTAGCGACAGGATAGAAGTTTTGTATCCATTACGACAACTGTTTGGATTCAATTTATCGCACCTTGAAAAACTGGTGTCCGAATTTGAAAGAATTCAGGATCAGATGTATGTTGGAAATTCATGTGAATCTGAATTTAGTGAGGCCCCGGAAGCCAATTTTATTCACGGAATTGGGAATTAAGAAAGATTTGACGGTGTTTGCGGTCAGTTCGAAAAAGGTAAATCCAACGAGTGGACAATGTTTCATGTTTTTTGGCATTTTGAATTAAGAAATGTTTTTTTTGAACAGGTATACAGCAAATCGCTCGCAACAATTATTCAGCTTGTGATCAACGCCTCCCCGAAGTTGAAGGAGGTCACGATTCCACTCGGATTCTGCCCGGATTTAGAAAATTTAAAGTGTCTCGAGGTCTTAAGGATCTCCTTGAACAGGGCGGAACCAATCCACCTTGAGGGTTGGAAACTCTTGAGAATGCTGGCTCAAGTCGGGGAGCAACTCGTCACGCTAACTTTTGGGTATGTTGGACGTAACGGTTCACATTCAGCTAAATTGTTACTCCACAATGGCAACCCGACAGCAATTGTCACTCAACACTTCCCACCTTATAGTAATTGCCAATTGACACCAGCTAATCCCCACTCAACGGTCCCAAGCACATTGTAATTGCCACCCAGCAACTCAAAAGCATGTAGCTATTGCTATTCAACAATTCCCACCTGATAGCAATTGCCACCCACCAATCCCTACTGAACACTCCCATGCTTGTAGTAATTGCCACCCACCAATCCCTACTCAACAGGCCCATGGAAATACCAATTGCCACCCACCAATCCCTACTCAAAAGTCAGCAACTCCCAAGCATAGCAATTGCTACTCAACAATTCCCACCTTATAGCAATTGCCGCCCACCCCCACTTAACAACTCGCATTCAATTATAACTAATTCTGTTCACCAGAGTAGAGTGGGTTCAATGCTTTTTCTAATGCATTAGAAACATTCCGGGTCCGTATGGACCTTCCCTACGGCAAATGTGAAATAAAATTATAAAAACAAATGATCAGCAAAGAACAAATATTTATTTTCGAATTTTCCACAAACGACTATTTTTTTCCAATTTAGTGAATTTTGAATGAAAAAATATTTTTTGAACAGGTATCTCGACGAGGATAACGTAAGAGTCTTGGAATATAACTCTGCAGGCGGATTCAAATTGAAAGAAAGGTTTCCCAAATTGCGAAACTTGCAAATCGATATGGTCGACGTTTTCGCGATGACCGATCTAATCCAAAGTCTAGAAGGAATGCGGGCCCTGAAAGCGCTCCAGATTTGGAAAAGCTTTACAAATTCGGTTTCTGTCGATCAATTTTTTCAAGCTATTTCCAAGTCGGGCAGGATTTTTCCGGGAGTGACGAGATTAACGGTGAAGGAGCTCGGCGTCCCGCTAATCGTGGCGGGATTGGGGAAATCGTTTCCGAACCTGGAAACGTTGCAGGTGGACATTTGTGGGCGGACGGGGCACTACTCAGGGGAGGAGTGTTGGAACATCTTCCTCTGGGCGTGTTCGAGATGCAGGGTCTAGAAACATTTGAAGGTGGCGGTGCCCACTTATCCAGAAAGGAGTGAGGACTTTATCCGGCCTCTGTTGCAGTGCGAGGAGTTTTACAAGCGTGAGTCGCAATTTTCTATTTATTCCCAGAAAAGGAACGTTCATATATTACGTCATCAAAAAATGCCGAGTTCAATCACACACCAACCCCTTCCTTATCATTTCGTTTTAAGGTTGTTTCGATTAATGATAAGATAAACGACCCAAACCTGTGTACCTACCCAGTTTTTTGAGGACGTAATATCTGGACGTTCCCAGAAGGTCATTATTGCCGTTAAAGATTACCTTGAGAAAGGGCCAAGTCTACGCCGGATTTAGTATAGTTTAGCTCAGAGTACCTTTACTTTTCAAAAAGGTTACATTATTTTTAAGAGTGTTTGAATATGGGAACGTCCATATATTACGTCATCATTTTAGAGGATGCGTGGTTTAGATCGTTCTGTATGTTCAAATTCCCTACCCCTTAATGTATGGGGTGGGCGGGTGGGTGTTAAAATGCGCGAATTTGTTATGACGTAATGTATGAACGGCCCCTATGCTAACTTATTTAATTAAATACACTCTTAGAAACTTGGTATTGAAAAAAAACCTAACGGTATTGATACGTAACTCTACCGCCTTGGTATTAAGCGGTTATACCATATTGGTATAGAACCGGTATTGAAATTATACCTCATGGTAATAATTTTAATACTAATTGGTATTAAAGTTTTTACCACGTAGTATTAATTCAATACCGGATCAATACCACGCGGTAGAGTCACATATCAATACCAACAGTTATTGATTTTTTTAAGAGTGTATCAGCTGGAATTAATTTCAGGGTTGAAAAGTCTGGAAATCCGATCAGACACGAGAAATTATGGAACTAAGGATCTCTCAGAAGAAGAAATGAACATGTTTGAACAACTCCTTATCGCAATGGATGAAATGGACGATGTCAAAATTTGCAATTTTATTGTGAGCATGGAAGAAACTCGTTTAATTAATATGTAAATGAGTTAATTAATTACGCCGAACGTTTCGTTTTTTTTGTAGTTGAGCCAGAATAGTGAGGAAAGAATGGTGGCCTTCATTGCGTCAAGAAATATGTCACCGTCGAAATTTAGGTTTATGTGGTAATACTTTGGAAAAACGGATCGGTGGAAAAAAGACGGCTTTAAAACGCAGTATTTTTAAGTCAGTCCTTTATTTTTCGATGAACTTAAATAGGTGTCACTCATAAATTACGTAACGCGAGATCTCCGAATAACGATATCACGTCTATGTTGACGACATCGATAAGTTTCATATATATGTGGTCACTTTAAAGAGGAAAATTTTTAAGGCAGTTTTGTTAATTGGATTAGGGGTCGTTCATAAATTATGTAATTGGAAAAGGGGGAGCCTAAGGTTCTGTATGTGACACGTATTAAAGGGGGAGGAGGTGTCAAGAAAATCGTCGATTTTTTATGCTTAATTTGTACGTAAATGTTGGAAATTATGCATATTTTATAAGGAAATAAAGTTGTGCACTAAATTTTCCATAAGTTTACAAATTTTATACACTGAGAATAAAATGTAAGGAAATTGCTACTGGGCGGTGTCTATATATGACCTCACCGGTTTGGTAGCGATTTCCTACGGAATGGTAGTAAATTTGCTACCACATTTTGACTAACCGTAACAGCGGGGTAAGGAAATGCTACAAGATGGTAGCAAATTTACTACAATTCCGTAGAAAATCGCTACCAAACCGGTGAGGTCATATATAGACACCGCCCACCCTAGTGGCACTCCCCGTGATAAACACGAGTCAAAGTGGGGCAAATTAGTGTCAAATACGTTTAAGGGTAAAATTGGTGTCTTTATTTTTACAAACTCGTTTCAAAAACGTGTAGAAGTTCCCAAAGTTACACCAGCTAACATTTCAATAAGACCATCGTATAAAACTCGTGTTAAATTCGTTTCTGCCACGTGTATTTTTAGATTGAAATACATAAGTTTACACGTGTTTTTTTCGTATCGAAGACGTGTAAATTTGACCCCGCCTTGGCGGCATTTGAGGGAGGCTGCCATTGCTTCACAGCAGTGCGATAAATATTTTTACTTTATTTAAATATAAAGAGTTCTAGCAGGCGACAATTAAATCGGGAAATAAATATTGCATTAAGTGATTTTAACGCAGTTTGTTCGAATTCCTCATTAATCGAACGACCAGTTGGAATATCAAATCCTTTAACGACTCCGGAATTAGTGGGCACTTTCTTATCCGACGAAGAAATACCTTCTGAATCTGAGTCGTATAATAGCGACCATTTACCTTCTGAAAGTGATGCAAACAGTGATAGTGATTTTGAAACAAGTATAGATATCCGACTATCACTTCAAAGTTGGGCAATTTGTCACAATATTACTAACTCCGCTACCAGTGATTTATTAAAATTACTCCAACAACACCAGTGTTTTAGTGATTTACCTGTCGATAGCAGATCATTGTTACAAACCCCCAGGAAAACAATTCTATTTAGTGTTCCGCCTGGCCAGTATTGCTCATTTGATTGGATTAAATCGATTCAGGAAATAATTCTTAATAGTTCTGAAGTGATTGAAAATAATACCATTTTGTTACAAATAAATATAGACGGAATTCCTCTCTATAAAGGTTCGGCTCATCAATTTTGGCCGATTCTTGGGTCAGTTGGGGCTAAAGTATTTGTGATTGGTATTTACTCTGGCGAAGGGAAACCAGAGTCAGTTAACAGCTATTTATCTTATTTTATCGAAACTTTACTTGCAAATATCAACAGTATAGTGGTAAACGGGGATAATTATACAATTAAAATTAGTGCTTTAATCTGTGATGCTCCTGCTCGTGCCTTCGTCCTTGGTGTAAAGTGTCACAGTGGATATAGTTGTTGTGGAAGATGCACAATTAAGGGTGTGTATTACAAAAATCGTGTAATTTTTCCATACGGTAATTATTCCTTAAGGAGAAATGAATCCTTCAGACAAAAAGATGATCCAGCGCACCACAACGAAACCACATTAATTGACAAAATTACTACTTTAGATTTTGTTAGAGATGTCCCTGGTGAATATATGCATTTAGTTTGCTTGGGAATAGTTCGTAAAATCCTATATCTTCTTACAAAGGGAAAAAAGTGTCCTGCACGTTTACGTCCTCACCAAGTTAATATAATTTCAAGCCAGCTAGTAGGGGTAAAAAAATATATTCCCAGTGAATTTGCACGGAAGCCTAGAATTCTCAAAGACCTGGACTACTGGAAGGCAACTGAGTTTCGTCAATTCATCCTATACACTGGACCAGTTGTACTAAAAAATAATATTTCTAGCGACCTGTATCAAAATTTTTTGTGCCTTCATGTAGCGGTGACGATTTTGTCCAGCAAAATTCTTAACGACACCCTGAATTATTATGCTGACCAACTACTTCATTATTTTGTAAAACATTTTGGTCGTCTCTACCGGCAAGAAAACTTGTCATTTAATGTGCACGGTTTACTACATTTAGCTAATGATTGTAAAAATCATGGCCCCGTTGATTTATTTAGTGCTTTTAAGTTCGAAAATCAGTTGCAAGTAATAAAGAAATTAGTGAGATCCTCAAATTGCCCCCTTCAACAAGTTCATAGAAGAATTGTGGAGAGGGAATCCCAAGCGGAGAAAGCATCATGCCGTGCACTCCTGCCTCGTCTCTCCAGTCCCTTGAATTTCTCCTCGCCTCTCCTTCCTAGTAATACTCAGTATTTTAGACAATTTAATCATAGATTATTTAAGGTTAAAGTTGGACAGAGCGATTCTGTGTGTGAACTCGAGGATAAAAGTGTTGTAGTTGTTAGAGCGTTTTTTAAACAAGGATTTTTAGCACAAAAGTTTCAAAATACCAGCAACGCTTATAAAACCCCTTGTCTTTCGGCCGAGGTAAATATTCGACGAGTTTCAAATCTTAGTGCAATAACGTTATTCGACACTACCAGAATATTACGAAAGATTTTTCTCTTGCCAATTGGAACAGCATTTTTTGCAGCCCCGCTAAATCATTTATAAAAATGTCATCCAACAACTCCTTTGTTCTCGTTAAGTTTGAGGAAACAGATGAAGTAGAAGTGGTATCGACCGCCTGGTTACGCCAAAATAATAAAAAGTGCGCTTGGCCAAATTATAAAAATTCCAACCGTCTGGCCAAAGCGGTCAGCTTACATGAACCTGTTCAAGAGTGCTGGTCACTTCATACCATCAAATTACTCGGTAGTGGTCGACAATTTGGTAAGTACCTTAAATTATTTGAGATTTTATTAGATTTTGTATTGCATGCAATGTCTCATTCTAAATTAAAATTAATTGGCAGGCTTATTTTTTTCAGTTTCGTATCATGACGCTCTTTCAAAGTTGCCTAAAGTTCTGGATCAATCAGACGCAGAAATTAACAGCGATGGGGGAAGGAAGAGCAGAAAATCCAACAAAAACACAACTTACAGTGATTCATCTGACGACGAAGTAAATAATCCGGATTCTTTTACCCTGCCACCACCACCCGTCATTGCACATGGTTCAAAAGGTTTAAAATAAATTATCTTATTGGATGAAATTTTTAAATTTTCATTAAGCTTAACATTTCCATTAACTATGCAGACACTGATAAAATCAACAAGTTGATCTTTGACTCGGCAAAAAAGTATGACCCACCTCACAGCTCCCCGATCCCGTTCACTCTTGGCTTAGGTAATAATAAAGTAAGGATGAACAAAACAATGCTGGTTCAACTTGTCTGTATTGCTTTATTTTGAACTATTTTAGTTGGGGTAGAAAATCTTGGCACTACAAGCGGAACTATTTCTGATTCAAATTCGTCACCGGACCATGTTTTGAATGAGATTCAGGTTCCGGCTACTACTGAATACAGAAACGATAACGGTGGGGATAACCGGGATGATTCTTTTATTGTCACCCCTTTGCAAAATTGTCATCCAGGTATAGCACATGGTTTTTATAACTCTTTTAATATGAGCTACAGACAATTCGTTGTGCATATGTACATAGGTAATGAATAACTGATTTCCCATATGCACATGTAGATAAGGACTTTCAAAACTGGGTGGCTAGAAATATTACCATTTTGAAAGCTCAGAACCGACAAATTCAGAACAGTCTTGACGGTATTCTATTACAACTTGGGGATAGGACTGAATATAAAAATTCCCAACCAAAAAATGTTCACCACGAGTTACCATGCAAGACTTTGGATGATGTTGAAAATGGAAAGAAGGTTTATTCTTCTTCAGATAGTCGAGAATCTTTAGTAAGCCGGAAATTCTAACATGTTTAATAATTATGACGTACAACTGTTTAGTTACGCATGCACTTAAATTAGGTACAATATCTCGGCCAGAAGGGGGGAAAGAGTGTCTCTTCGTGCACTCGGAAGGTGCTATCTTGTTTGTGCACCGATAAATTGGCCTGTAACTACAATTGGATTGGATCGCGTGGTGGCAAAGTGGGATTTAAGGAGACATGGATGAAGTCAATTATTTTGGGCAAGTCATTCACAAATTCTCCTGGATTTACTTGGAGTATAATTTTTCTGTCTATAGATTCTGTTAGGCTATATCACGCCAGGAAATCGAAGCAGGTGACAGACGACGAGGTGGAAGAAGTTATGAAGGAATGGCTAAAAACTGCGCCGAAAAGACTCAAACCGTAAGAATGATGGTTTCGAAGTATACGGAGCTATATAAATGTTACCTAACCAGATTATTGATTTACAAACAGAACTGGACGACCCGATGGATTTTCCGGAAATGAGCACATTGCGGAAGATGAGGACATGTCGCATCGTCTGGCCTAATATCGTTTTTATCATTTGGTTTTGCGAATAATCTAAACTTAAGACCGTATAAATAAAGGGAAACTGAAAAATTCTGGTGTTTTTTCATATTAATTTCACGTGTAATATACGAGTTTGTGTGCCTTAAAATCACGAATAATCATCCTGATCGACACGGGCATGACACTGAAAATATCCGAATTAAACACGTGTCATTCCATACTTTTCACCCAGATATATACGAGTTTGTTCCGAGTTTAGCCCTCTAAAAGTGGGACATCTACCATGTAAATTCTCCCACTTTGACTCCTAATTCATTCGTGTTTTACACGACTTTTCGGGTTGGGATTCTCGTGTTTTTTTATGAATAAAACTCGGGTATGTGCTAGTACTGCAGTAGCAATTTGCTTACATTTTATTCTGAGTGTAGTTACTTTACATTACTACTCAATCCAAAAGTTGTCCCAGTTTAGAGTTCTATCTGTCAAGAGGTCCGAATTATTCGGACCTCTCGGCAGAAACAGGTGCATTATTATCACGTTTTCATGAACAAAGTAAAAAGCTCAGCGATCGGCAGCAGGCGAGTTAAAAACAAGGGGACCGTGCACAAGATATGTTATTCAGTTTTTTCCTACCGTAGTTAACAATAATTTGGAAAGATTAATACCTAATTATCATTCTAAGCTAATTGTAAATAAGCAAGTATGTGCTGCCTTAGACCATAAAAGGTACCACATTCTTTACGCATCGTCCTAAAAGTCCGACCTATTCATCAACTGCTTGCTCCGCACATGTGTTCTCTTTTGACAGGCAGGAGTGAAGTAAAATAATTTGGCTAATTTGACTTAATTTATTAGTACTCTTTGTTTATACATACTCTCGCTGGCTTATTGAGGAGCATAATTCTGTAAAATTCATAAATTGAGTACCCTATGTCCTTCGTAAGTAGTAGGGAGTTCGTTAGAGTGAAAAATTATGGAAGTAAAATAATAATTTAACACATACATTTCTCTGCTCAATTAAATTTAAATTAGTTCAAGCACATTAAATAATTTTAAAAACCGGACGGAACACGGATCAACTAGAATTATAAATCGGAAGTAGTGACAGGGATAAGAGGAAATGGAGCCTCAAACAACCACTAATCTTGCCCTGAGCAATCCCATTGTATGTGAAACAACATTTTAATTTACAAATTATTATGTAGATAAATTGTATTTAAGATACGTGCAATTTATTGGCGATTTTCTAAATATGTAGATTTTGACGACAATTTTAAAACAGAGGTCAACCCCGTTAACTAATTGTCGACTTGTCTCCCACTTTTGGAACGATATCGTCCTCTCCCTTCCAAATACCCGGTTCGGACTGAAACTTGACCACAAGAACCAGCCAGATTCGGACCACGACCACGACCCGATCCCGTTTTTCGACATGTGCTTCACCCTCGACCCGCGCCTCGCGAAACGGATCAACGCCACGTGTCGGACCGATGTGTCGCACTCGCTGACCTCGATCTACTCCTTTTCCGCAAAATTGCTCCATTTAAGTGATAAATTTAGCGACAAAATTCAAATTTTGGACGTTTGCATAGAATACGAAAACTGTTTAGATTCAGTTTATCGCGCGTTGAAAAACTGGTGTCCGAATTTGAAAGAGATAAGGATCACGTGTCCGTTAGAAGTGAATATAAATGTGAATCTGGTTCCGGTCGGGGGGCCAGTTTTATATGAGGAATTGGACAAAAAGTCGAATTTGACAGTGTTTTCGGTGAGTTCGAAAAAGGTGGAGATTCCCCGATTAGCCAGTTTTATTCGGTTGGTGGTCAACGCCTCACCGAACTTGAAGGAGATCAAGATTCCACTCGGATTCTGTCCGGATTTCGGAAATTCGAAGTGTCTCGAATCCTTAAGGTAGGACTGGATGAGTCATGACTACAAAATTACATACTCACATTTCTGTGTTCTGGGAATTTATTTTAAAATTTTGGACAAAAAACTTTGTCGTTTCCAATTTAAAAAAATATACATTTCAGAATTTCACAGTTTTTTTATGGAGGAGGTCTCAAGACTATGATAAACCCTTAGAAAAATTGGAACTCATCTAAACTCAGCGTCATTTGCCATTTCATGAATTAACTTACAATGGAGGTCTCCCAACGTATGCTCACCGATTTGGACCAAAGTAGTGTCAATTGATCACAAATATAATTAGTATGAAATTTGCAAATGGAACTATCTGCCTATGCGCAGGTTTGGCTGAGATATTTGCATCCAAAGCGGGAAAAATGCGCAGCAAATTTGGAAATCGAAAAATTTTCCAGCCTTGGGGGTGCGTTTTCTCCTCTTTTTATGCAAATATCTACGATGAACTTAAGCATTGGGAGATAGTTTCATTTGCAAATTTCATACTAATTAATTTTGTGATCGATTGACGCTAGTTTAGTCCAAATTTGTGAGCCTATGTACGTTGGGAGACCTCCATTATTTGTTAGTACCAATTAGTCGTCCAGAATTATAAAATAAATTTCCAGAGTGGAGAATTGATTAAAAATTTATAAATTTTGACGATGAATAATCCATTCATTTCACATTTTAAGGATCTCACTGGACGGCGCGCAACCGATTGACCTCGCTCGCGCAATCTTGGACCATTCCGAACTTTCGAGAATGTTGGAACACGTCAAGGACCAACTCGTCACGCTCGCTTTTGGGTGCGTCAAAATATTTCTGCATTTTTAAATACAAAAAATATTCATTCATTTATTCAAAAATAATTATTCCGTATTCATTCTACTTCAAAATCACGCCATGAATTGGGCATAGAGTAAAACAATATGCAAATATTTTGACGACGAAATATATTTTCGAACAAATGAAAAATAAATGAATAATTTTCCCCAATTCAATAATTTTGAAGAAAAAAATCTTTTTTGAACAGGTACGTCGAGGACGGCATGAAATGCATGCAGGGTGACTACAAAGAGCTGAAAAGAGTCGGATTCAAATTGGGAAGAAAGTTCCCGAAATTACGAAATTTACACATCGATATTGTCGACGTTTTCGAAATGACCGATTTCATCCAAAGCCTGGAAGGAATGCAGGCTCTCGAACGGCTCGAGATTGGAAAAACGTTTCGACATTCGACCTGTGTGGATAAACTTTTGCACGGGATTTGCGAATCGGGCAAGATTTTCGCAAGTGTGACAAATTTGCGAGTGAAGGCGATGGACGACGTGCTATTTTACGAGGGGCGCTTGAAAACAGGGTTTCCGAACGTGGCGCGGTTGCAGGTGGACATGCTGGGCACGGAGGGCATGCGATTGGCCAGTCTGTTCAGGGCATTATGCGGTTGGAGGGCCTTGAAACATTTGAATTTGACGGTGCCCATTTATCACGTGTGCCATGGGCTTTTTTTCCGGGTTTTGTTACTTTGCAAGGAATTGTATCAACGTGAGTGACAGATATTTACAGGGGACGTTCATAAATTATGTAATGTGATATAGGGACAGGGGGTAAAGGTTGTAAAGGACCCATGTTAAAGGGGGAGGTGGGGTCTAGAAAATAAAGGATGTCAATATAACCGCCCAACTAAATTTTTTTTTCTTCCAACCAAAAGCTATAATTTTTTCAACACTAAAATTTGCAACCAATCAATCGTATTTTTTAATCCAACCAAAATGTAAAATATTACAACCAACAAATTTTGTATTTAAGCAGCAGAATAATTAAGTTTAGGCAGTAAAAATGTTCAAATGCAACAACATTTTTATGAAATTTCACAAGTTAGGGGACGTTCATAAACTTCATAGCGCCAATTTTTTTGGATTTTGGATTTTTTAACGTTTTTTTGGGGGGACACCAACCCGGGCCTAGAAAATAAATTTGATTTCAGATGTCACATAATTTATGAACGTCCCTTTATTTATAAAGAAATAGTAGATTTTTACAAATGGGACGACAAAGAAAGTATAGAGGTTTCCCAGCGTATGCTCTCGGATTTTGAGTTAATTAGTGTGAATCCTTCACAAAATTAATTAGTATGCAATTTGCGAAAGATACAATCCCATAATTGGCATGTTTAGCCGAGATATTTGCATCCGCAGGGGAGAAAATGCGTCTTAAAGCCGGCAAATGTTACACCTTCCAATTTTTTTGCGACGTCCAGATGCAAAGGGCAAATATCTCTGTGACACGTGCCCATTGTGAGCATACCTGTTCACTTTCATTCATGTGACTGATTATGATGATAGTGAATGAAAATGAATTTCTTGTGATTTGAATGAAAATGAGTGAAGGATTCCGTCATGTCAGATGAGTGAGTGTGAATAAAAGGATTTCTCACGCATTTCATTTTTCACCCTGTTCTTAATACATGGAACGAAGTAAGAAATGAAGTCAGATGAATAATGAAATGAAATGAGTGTGAATGAAAATCTTCAGTCAGAAATCGAGATGAATGAATTTTGAATGAAAAAAGTTTTTCTATGATCGTGTCTTTTGCAAATTTCATACTAATTAAATTTATGATTGATTAAGACCACTTCAAAATTTTGGAGCATACACTGGTCCAAGATGATCTTGCTTAAGTCGGATAAATTGGTTAAGTTGGATAAGTTGGATAAAGTAGGATAAATTTAGCCATACTAAATATGGAGATCTTGGCAAGATCTCCATATTTAGTATGGCTAAATTTCCATAGAATTTGCATAGACCAGATTGGAAAAATCTACATAAATTAAATATGCTAATTTAAGGATTTGAATATGCGTAACTACTTAATTGCAGAGCTGAAAAGTCTGGAATTGAACGCATACCATAAAATTCAAATGACCACGTACTTGACCGAGGGGGAAATGGAGTTGTTTGAGCAAGTCCTGATCGCAATGGATGAATTGGACGATGTCAAAATTTCCAATCTTTCCGTGAGATATTTAATTATTAATTGACTTTTTATTAATTATGGATTTAATTACTATTTTATACAAAACTATTTAAGCCTCGTACCGGATTATGCAAATATTTTGTCATGCTAAAGTTCCTTATTTCAAACGACAAAAAGTAGGTATATTCATTTAGCAATTTTTTAAACTTAGCAAGTTTAAATGATAAAAATTAATTATAAAAAACTCTGCAATACGTGTTGGGTATTTGTGAATATACTATGCCCCAATCTTCACCGGGACTTCAAGGAGCTGTATTTTGTCGCTGATAGAGTAAATTATCTAAATATGTAATGTTACATAATATTAATATATATCAATTACTACATGAATGAAAAATTGCAATTAATTAATGAGCTATCTATTAACGAATGATTTACATATGTACATCTTTTTGTACTTGCAGTATAGCGAGGAATTTGACAAAAAAATTCATGCCTTAATTGTCTCAAAAAATTTGTCCCTGGAGAAGTTTAAGATTAGAAACAAATCGAGGAGAAATAGCGACACGGATTAATACAGAAATTTCAGATAAACAATTCATTCAAAGAGTAAAATTTAATGAACAATTTTTGTATTTACATAGTTTGGATTTACGAGTATGAAATGATTAAGGACTATAATTTAGAGGAAGCACTCTATTTTTTTATTAAATTTTGCATAAATTTTCAAATTTTGCAAAATTTTCCGTTAATCTTCTCGAAAAATGCTGTTAAGCTTTTCTTAAGCAACGACTTACGTACCTTTTGCATAGCATACAATTTGCATATGTAGTAGCTGTAAACTGGTGGATAAATTCATAAGAAGGGGGGACAAATATGCAAAAACAAAAATAACAAAACCCATAGGATAAATATGCATACGACATTTGTGCAAAGATAAATACGAAACCAACCTTTGTGCAAGCGAAATTTACGCAAAGATAAATATGCAACAGGCATTTATACATAAATAGGTTTACACAATCTGTCATGTCGCAGGAAGAGTGACGAATTAACTTAATTGTATGAATTGAATGCGAGGTTTGTAAATATTTTACATATGCGACTCGTACATACATATCTACGCTAGGGCATGCAATACCGGTATTCGAGTACCGGTATTACCGAATACCGAATACCGGTTTTGGAAAACAACCCCGGTACTAATCTACGCCCATGCGAAGACGTAAATAAATCATTTAAAATCGCTCCAAAGCGCCCTTAATTGGGGGATGATTATATACCATGTAGCAAGGAACTGCCCCTCCTTCTCTCTTTTACATCAGTTGATCGTTCTATTTTTCAAATGATCATTAAAATTTACTTCATAGATATCTATGTATGTACATGTTTGTTACTGAATAAGTATTTGTTCACTTCATACTCATGAAGAATAAATGAAGAATTTTTCATTATTATTTTGCACGCTATGCGTACTAAGCACACCCGATATACATATTGAGAAATCCATGTACTTAATTAGGCGGATTTGAGAGAAAGTTAGTACAAAATGAAAAATAAATATTTATTTTCAAAATTATGAATAATGAATGAATAATTTTCTCAACTTCTACATCGCATGAATTTTAAATGAAGAAATATGTTCTGAACAGGTACTACGAGCCGTGTGAAATGTTATGCAACCAAATTTAACGACCAACTTCATGTTTTCTTTTTGCGAATATGAAATTGAATAAATGCATGAATTACGTAACATTACATATGTGTTTAGAAGTTATGTACGTATGCGAAAATAACGCGGTAAGAAGTGTCGAAGAAGAATATTTACGAAAATAACGATTACCTAATCGTTTCGATAATTGTTTTTATTTTGGGTTTATTGTGCAACCGAATTCTAGAGAAAATCGGGGTTTTGCATGGATGTATATATAAGAAAGGATGGAGCGACTAGAGCTCTTTGTTAACAGAGTATGGAGGATTATTTCTTCCCCACCCCGCTTGGGGCGCCTGTGTCCTATGGAAACTGACATAGCGAACTTGCACGCCCCTGTCGGCGTGGGGATGCTTTTCATCCTGCATAAAATTGTGTCTCAGATTCTGTGGTAGTTATTATATTTTGAGGTAGGGGGCTCAGCCACACAAACTTCGATCGGTCTCCTATTCCAATAACATAAGCTCCATCCCATTGGGGTTTTGATTAATAATGGGGTGTTGAAGTATGTATGTAAGTTAACATTCAGACGAATATCACCAATCAAGAGGCAGATATTTATTAGTTCAACCTGTAAATATATCAATTAAGCATAAATTTTGAAAACATGCATAAAAAGTAACCAACAATGTAAAATTTAAAATAAATTAAGCCGAATTTGCGAGAAATTAACTCATTTTTCGCAAATTTATTTCAAACGTCATTTAGTTTTTGGGGTGACATTTTCATGGAAATTTCATTCCGCGCAAGTTCCTCACCTGTAAACTTTACTTACATAAGCGTGCACTCTGAATAATTTTTTGATGATATTGTTTTGTTACCGGCGGAGGTACTATGCAACTCTACTGCTCGGGTAATAATTTATCACCGAAGGGTAACATATATACAGAGGCTAAATCCTGCTCCGCCCTCAATGTCAACGCTCAGGTAATAAAAATATTACCGATACAGAAGGCAATTTCAGAAGATAATTTGTTACTATAATGTTACCACGAGGTAGAATTGCATAGTATCTCCGCCGGTAACAATATTGTCAAAAAATTATTGAGTGTGAATTATCTCCACAAGCTTTAATAACACGGTTAGAAGATCAGCGAAAAATCCGACCAAAATTTTTTACCATATTTTGAAAACAAATTTTCAATTTCGATCGAAATGACGACCTATCCGGGGTCCGGATATCTGAAATATTTGCGACATCACCTCCGCATTTTACACTTTTTGAAGTGCTTTCGCCTCGAATTAAGCCCCGATCAGGGGGAGGATCGTATAATCGTGAGTCGGAGTAAATTGAAGAAATATGTCACCTGGTTTTCAACCTTGTTTGACCTTGTGTATCTCTCCTGCGCCATGACCGTGGTCCGAAACGATTGGAAGAACGGGTGCCTCGGGAAAACGGCAGAGGGCGCGATGATCGTTATTATCATTGTGTTACTGACCATTTGGAGTTTTGGGGTAAATCCGGACACCAAAGCGATGTCCGTGATTAATTCAGATCTCCAGTTTTCAAAGAAATTCCAAGGTAATGATTTACTTAAACGGAAATCTTGTTTTTCTTAAGGTTGCATGGGATGAAGATTGGATTTGGAATAGATTTTTAGTCTCACTCTACCCCTATTCAAGAACTTTGAACGCAAATTTCTAAAATAGTATCAATTTCGTGGGTTTTGAAATAATTTAAACTTGAAATCTCACGATACCCCAAGAGTCTCAATTCACCCCAAAATTTTTCCCTAAGTCTTAGAATTCTCTGCAACGTCCAAAAATGCAATAAAATTGCAAACTTTGTCCCGCCATAACTTTTGAACGGGACATTTCCGCGCCTTCCGGCTTCGATATTCTTGTTCAGCTCGCCGAGACGAAGAGAATGTCGTGTCACTTTACCCCATCGGAGACCGACGGTTCACTAAAGTCTAGCCTTTTTCCGCAATAAATCTCCACGAAACGGAATTCGCAATTTTTCCAGTCGATTGTTTTGTACTATAAAAAATTCATTTATAGAGTTACATTTATCTCAATATCTTGGAAATTAATGTAAGTAATTTTAAAAATTTGTACTTGATGGGTAGCTTAGGACTTGTGTAAATTTTTTGACTGGGTTATTTCATCTTAAAAAATTTGGGAAAATTTTTAGCCGCAAATTACAAAAAATTAAGGACCGACAACTTCCTCGAAGGGCTCATGTTCATCGTCTCTATTGTTGGATTGGCGTCAGCGTTTTTAATTGTGGGTCGCATTCTATTAAATCATTGTGCGTCACCATTTCTGGGCGCGTACTTTTTAGAGTGCCCACCTTGTTCCGGATGGAATCCTAGGGTCGAATATGTCACGTGGTTTGCCATGATTATGCTGGACTTTTGGCTCGTATTTAGTCTCGCACACAAAGGATTCTTTTACCCGGTCCATGTCGTCTTCGCGACTACGGGGAGGGTGGTGGGCTATTTGGAAGTCATAGGGAAGTAAGTGCATGTAAATCCTACAATCTAAAAAAACCGGTAATAAATTCTTAATACCGGGTATTACCGCCTGTGGTATTGCCATCAGCGGTAGTATGGTAACGCTCTATTTATTACCATGTTTTCCACCAAGTGGTAGCAAAAACTACCAGCCTTCAGAGTCTCACCACCGCGGCAAGACAGTATTTAGTCTCATGCCAAAATTTGGTTGTTACTGTGCAGTAATACTTACTTAGTAGTATCTAGCGCTGGTAGAGTCATATGTATATGTTTACCGCGTGGTAATAAAATTTCGTAGGGTATACGATAATGATCTAGCGTAAGAGTAATATTTTATGATTGTGAGTGTAATTGTGATTGTTAATCAAAATTACAATCAACAAAACTTACGCTAGCTAAACACCTTAATTACTACAGAAAGACTAACTCATCCACATATTTATTAACTCAAACAGTAAAATCATATTTAAATTGCCGACTAAAATTTTGATCAGCTTCCTGCAGAAATGTACATACATAGGCAACTTTCCTGCAGACAAATTTAATTTTATGCAGAACCACTTATGCAGAAATCTATTGCAAAATAAAGCTTTTTTTAAGAAAATCATTTTCTGCAGGGTTATCCATCTATAAAAAAAATATATGCCCAGTAAAATTTTTTTATTCGTGCAGAATTTGGTACAACGATTTCTACTCGGGTTGCCCTACATTTATTAGAGTTTTTAGGGTTTCGGGAATAGAGTCTATTCGAGAAAATAAAATAAATAATGTTAAAATTTTAAAAAAATCTATTTTATGTATTAAAGATCGTCCGTGGAGAGGTTAAACTTGTACAGATCCGTCCAGATTTTGGAAGCCCAATTAAATGATTATTCCAGAATCCGGGTTTTACCCGCTTTCATGTCGGGCGGCCCTTTCGTCGAAGTCTTGAGCCTATTTGTCCTAATCAAATTACACGATCAAATCCCACTCCCGGGAGTTGTCCTCTTCCTGGAAGGATTCATAACGGCCGCGTCCGCCCTGATTGTTTATGAAACGGTGGCCGCCATCGTGAACACGAAATCGGTTCGGATTATAGGCGCCTGGAAAGGGCAATTTTGTCGGAGTAAAATAAAACGAAGGGAGGTCACCTCCCTGAAGCCTTTGATGATCAAATTCGGGTCAAGTTTCATCGATAAAGGGACGCCACTTATTACGCAAAATTTTTGCATTACCCAAACCGTATCCATGTTGCTGATGAAGTGAAGGACACTAAAAATAAATAAAATGAACGTGTTTTGCACATAAATAAGTTCGTGGAGAATTTCATAAGTATGTAAATTACTAATACATATACACTCAAAATAAGGTAGTAATGAATCATTATCATGCGGAATGACTATGTGGCTCTACCACGTGGGTTACGATTTGTCGTAGAAATGGTAATAATAATTTCAGGGAAATTCAAATTCATTACCAAATATTAAGGAAGTGAATACCATTATGTATTAAATTTGAATTTCCCTGAACTTATTACCATTTCTACGACAAATTGCAACCCACGTGGTAGAGCCACATAGTCATTCCGCATGGTAATGATTTATTATTACCTTATTTTGAGTGTATGTATGCATTACGCGATATGATAATCATTTATACGTAATGTTTCACTCTCTGGTTACATGCGTTGCTGGAAGTTTTCATGAAAGACTTAACTGTCCAGGAGGAAAGTTAATCAAATAATAATAAATAATAAATAACGCGTCATAAATTATGACTGACAATCAGTAATTTCAAATGCGAGCCGTCATTTTTCACCTTTACCAGCAATTTTCCAAATTTAGAAATTTCATGACATGGAAATTAAGTATCACAATTATAACTTATAAGATTTTTATGCAGTAAAAAACTATGTAAATACGTGCATAATAAATTTTAGATACTTATATAATTACATATTTATATCGTATAGTTATAAATATTCGAATTTTAATACAAAGCTCGGGAAAAAAACATGGGCCTTAATTTTATACATGCATAAATATGCATAGAAACAAATATTTTGATGGAGTGTAACTCATTTTCATGGCAGGGAACTTCCCTGAGGGAAGTCATTTTATTGAAAACACTCATTTTATTGGAAGAAATTACTCATTTTCATGGCAGGAAACTCATTTTATTGAAAAAACCTCGTTTTATGAGAAGAAATTACTCATTTTCATAAAATGAAACTCATTTTCATGGTAAGTCATTTTATTGAAAAAAAACGCATTTTATTGGAAGAAATTGCTCATTTTTATAAAATGAAGCTCATTTTCATGGCAGGAAACTGATTTTATTGAAAAAAACTCATTTTATGCGAAGAAATTACTCATTTTCATGGCAGGAAACTCATTTTCATGATGCTTTTCGTGCTAAGGAAAAGCAGACAAAGTGGAATCCGTCTCGATTTTCTCGTCATACAAAGTCCACCAATCCGTTCTCTTGGCGGTTTACAAGTCAAAAGTGCAAAAGTTTTTTTTACACATTTCCGTGTAAAGTATAGAAACTTTAATTATTTATTTTCTTTACAAAAATAAATTGAATTTTACAAATTTATCCATTCCACACCCCTGAGGATTGATGACTTTCAAATAATGGTAAGTTCGTTACGAATATTAAGTTAAAACTGCATTTGTCAGTGATAAATCATGATATTTTGTAAATAATGAAAAATTTAAAGAAACCTTGTAATTATTTAGTTATTTAATTTAGTAAGAAAGAAAGATCCGAACCACTGATGTTGTAAATAGTAACCCCCACCTGCTGCTGTTTGAGTGTATACGGTAATTATTTAAGTTTTTGCAAATTACAGTAAACTTGATGTGAAATTAATATTTTTTACAGATTAAATATTCTTACTTATTTACTTACTTAACTCCTTAATCTAATTTAGTAACAAGAAAGATGCCTCGTCGCACGTCCACCAGAAAAAATATTGGTAATTATTTATACACATTAAGTTTTTGCAGTATTTGACATTACGAAATTAAATAATATTTCTTATTCTTAATTATTTAATTACTTAACTAATTAAAACTTAATTTAGTAACAGAAAAGATGCCTCGTCGCACTTCCTCCCGAAAAAATAAGGGGCCCAACGACGACCCCGTCGTCCTTTTGGATCGCGACCCCGTCATTGAGGAAGAATTAGGACAAAAATGCAAATTATCCACTGATTCAGCGTCCTGTTTTCTCTGCACAAGTCCCAACATTGCGCCACAATCTGCGCCGACGCCACACGGTAACAACATTTATACCGAGGAGGTGACCACGTTTAAACGGATTTTTATGACGCCACCCTTCCGGCGCAAGATTTCTCCCCCGGCCTACAACCACTTCACGAATAATGAACAAAGTTGTGTCAGCTGCGCTAAGTTTGTGAGGAATGTGGTCGCGCTGGAGGACGAGGTGGTCGCGATTGGGCGCAGGTTAAGGGAAAAGTTGGAGGAGGGGAGGGAAAATCTGGTGAAAAGGTGGAAAGGTGAGAAGTGTTGATTATTATTAATTAATTACTAATTATATCATGTCGGACAAAGTTAATTAGAAGCAATTAATAATTTACTTTACTTAATTAAAAATTGAGTACATTTCTTCGTGGGTGGGATAAACCCTGCAAACGCGCGAACGCGTTCGCCGGGACAGACGGGGGCAGGACCTTTTTTTTTTTTTTTAGGGACCTTTTTGCATAAGGCCCATGTTTAAAATTCCGGGATTTTGTCCCCCCATTTGCCGCGATGAAACCGGAAATCGCACCCACGCATTTCTTTATGAAGGCAAATGAACTGGAATGAAAGCGTAATTAATAGCAAAATTAATCTCGATATTATGATTTACGATTTTATTTAATTTATAAATTTGATTTAATTTTACTTAATTTTTTACTTAGTTTTACGATTTTGTAATCGTCTAAAATTAATCAAGATTTTGACCAAAAAACAAGCTTTCAAATTTGAAACAAGAGTAATTAATTAGTAATTATTAATTAATTACTACATACAACACGGATGGAATTTTAATAATTGAAATGATCATTTTGTTTTGTAACGATAATTAATTACAATTAATGTATTTGGCTCCAAATATGTAGGGACGGGGACACCGGAGCCGGTCAGAAACCACGTGACGAAGGTGAAGGACGAACCAGATGACGACGAGCTGGTTCCATTTTACGAGCCAGATTTTGATCATGATGACGAGAGTGAATTTAATTTTGGACAACCCACCGTCTCCGATGCATTGGCGACACGAAAGAGTCCACGTGCCCGGAAACGGATGAAAAATGAAGACTTTGTCAGCGACGAGGATGGTGACGACTCGGGAGAAGAGTAAGTTAATTAATTAATTTGGTTGCGAACCATGTTCAGCCCAGATTTTTTTTATCATGTTAGTTTGAAAGAGCAATTCTTAAGAGGCAACAGTATTGCGAAAAAATCTGCAAGTTTTTGACGCCACAAGTTCGCGAATATCCTAGGTTTTCCAGTGAAATCTGCACCTAGCAATGTCGGCGCCGAAAACTTGCCGAATTTTTCGCTCTAAATGTTGTTCTTTCATTCAAACGGTCGTAAAATAATTTGGGTTGAACATGGTTTGTTCTGTTAGCATTTTACTTGCTAAACTGTTTATATTTTGTGCAGGTCAAATTACGCACCGGACGGTGATGAAGGAGACGATAAGGAAAAAGTAAAACGTCGTCGTCGTCGTCGTCAGCCCCCCGCCCCCCGGAGAGATGGGGACGACCTGAGCTGCGCCAAGTGTGGGAAAAAGTTCGGCTATCGGAGGGGCCTACTTCGTCACGAGGTTGAAGTGTGTCGCGTTGCACGGTCGGATGTCACTCTGCATCCGTGCCAGATCTGTGATCGCGTCTACGTGTCGAAGCAGATGATGATGCGGTGAGATAGGAATTTTGTAAATTTACGTAATTATTAGGGGGACCTTGGCAAACTTTGTAACGCAAATTTTAACATGTGTCTGGCACATGGGCGATGAATTTTACAAAGTTCGTGACTGGGTTTGTTCACAAAACGTGTTAAAAAAACCATATCTGAAAATGACCACGTTTTATAATTTTTCCCCTTAAGGAGTATCAAAAAATACGATTTTTTTTTAATTTTCCCAAAAAGTGAACGTGTCACGTGCTAAAGAATCTGTAAATATTACGATTTAACAAGTATGCAAATAACTATTAAGTTTCTGTAGCAGGTGGCAAGGCCGTTTTTTTGAAAATGGTAAACGACAAAAAAAGTCGTATTTTTTTAAAGGTCACCCTATATATTTCTACATTTCGTTTGCAACGGTTTAGATATTTCCAATTCTTGTATTTAATTCGTCTCTTTAACCAATTATGTAAATAGGCACGCGAATACTCACACTGGAAACAGGAAGGTATCAAATAAACGCATAAAAACCGAATCTGAATCCGAAAACTCCGACTCGGAGGAACATGAAGTAACCCGAATTCGCGACAGAGATCCGGTCAAACGCACGTGTACCGTTTGCAAGAAAATGTTCGAGACTCAGTTACGACGCATTTGGCATGAAATCAAGTTCTGTCACGTGACCTTCACCCCGGACCAGTTGGAGGAGATGGGGGTCGCTATGTACCCTTGTCAGGGTGACGAATGCGAGAAAGTCTTCATTTATAAGAGAGACCTTAATCGGTATGAGTCCTATATAAAGCGTGTTGATTTAATTCGTCCCGATTTTTTGTAAATATTTGGAAACTTGGGACTCAAAACACATGGAAACTTAGGTTCTTATGGTGAACATTGTGATTAAAACTTCATTTTACGCATGGTAAAACTTCGAAGAAAAATATTAACTTGTTTGAAAATTGATATTTGAAATGTCTAAAAACACGGTCAATATTTAAGGTGAAGTTAATTTTTCTCTCAAATTTTACCATGCGTAGATAAGTCCTAATCATAACGTTAACCAGAAAATCCAAAATTTCCACCCGTTTCGAGTCACAGGCTTTCATAGAAAAAATCGGGACGAATTAAATCATCACGCTTTATATAAATATTTAGATATCCAAAATTTATTATTTTTTTCGTGACCCTTTATTTTTTTTATTTTTTAGGCATGCCAAAGCCAAAAATCATCCCGTCGCGGAAAAGGTTCAGCCATCATCGTCCGATTACAAGAAGTTTGCTACCCTATTTTCCGAAGCACAAAAAAATTGTGACGACAATTTAAACAGCGAGGTCGCCAAACCGTACAGTCTTGGAACCCATGCGTGTCAGAAATGTGGGAAAGTTTTTGCCACCTTGATGTCCAAAGTGTATCATGAAATCAAAATTTGCAAAGTGGAGTACGATGACGAATATCTGAAGAAAATTAAGTTGAGCTTCCTCCCCTGCGATCGGTGTGACCAAAAGTTTCATTACCAAAAGGACCTCGACAAGTAAGCGTTCGTTTTTAAGGGTCGATTGCATGCAGGTTTTGAGTTTGAATTTTTGTACCTCAACTTTCCCTTCTTGCGTGTATTTAAATAGCGATTTAGAAAGATTCATTTCTGTACGTTTTTTTAAATTATAAATTTCTGAAATCGATAGATTTTCGGTTCGGAGGATAAAATTTTGATTTCGCTCTTCCATGAGCAGAGCTGGGTGATTATTCGTTTATGAGGGTGGATTAAGGATTATGGATTAACCACAAAATAATGTGGATTGTGATTAAATTATTTTCGTCAGATTAATTCATGTCAGGATTAATCCGGATTAATCCATGAATTCTGGAAATTTCAGGATTATGGATTATGGATTAATAATCCGGATTATTTTGGTGATTAATGATTTTTACACTACCTACAGATATATCTAGCCCAAAAAATTTAAACTATGTGGTTTCACATAAAATATTTAAAACGCCAGTTTCAATTGATATATGTAGCACAAGGCAGCAAAAACATGTTAACTCTTCAAATGGTAGCCGACAGGACAAAGTTGTGAGAACTTGAGACTTCAAGCTACACAGTGGGATGAAATAGAACTACGGGAATTGAACTGAGTAATCCAGATTGAGAATTAATCATGAATACCTAATCATGATTAGTAATCATGATTGGGATTAATCGGGATTAATAATCATGATTAGTAGTCATGATTGGGATTAATCAGGATTAGTAATCCGTAATCATGATTACGGATTAATGACATCTAATGGGATTATTCCCGGATTAATTCAAATTCCAGAAAAATCTGGATTATGGATTGGGATTAATCTACAAAAAACTCTCATTGTCGGATTAGGGATTATGGATTAATAATCCATAATCCGGGATTAAAATCCATAATCCTTAATCAGGATTATCCCAGCTCTGTCCATGAGCTGAGCAAAAGTAATAAAAATTATCAAATGAAACTGGAATATTTTCTTATGGGAGAAAAAAATCAAAATTCCAATCTCCTAACTTTGAAAACCTAAAAATTCTCGATTTTTGGATGTATTAAAATCACCATTTCTTAAACAAACGCACGGAGATAGACACGTTTTAAATTCAAAACCTGCTTGTAATGGATCGTTAAAATTTTGAACTTTTTAAAATATTTTTTTATAAATAATTTGCATGATTTTGAAATTTCTAAAATTTCTTGTCGTTTTTTTTCAGACATGCCTTAACCCACTCCTCCGTGAAATACACGTGTTCCTCCTGCGGCAAGAATTTCCGGCACCTCGAGTCCTTCAACATCCACGTGGCCATCCGATGCACGCAGCCCACGATGAAAATGACCCCGAAGGAACAGGAACTCTTGACAAAGACCAAGACGAAAAAATGTCCCCAGTGTCCGGCCCGATTGTGCAACAATTCCGGCCTCTACCGCCACATCGCGACGGTGCACAACCCCGCCAAAAGAAAACCCAAACCGAATCCGGGTAGAATCGAGCAGACCACGGTTTGCGAATTCTGCGGAAAATCCTTCTCTGCCCAAGTTTACAGACAGCACATTCGTCGCATGCATACCAATGTGCGCAGCCACGTGTGCTCCTCGTGCAAAAAGCGGTTCCTTAGTCGAGACGAGCTTGATGCGCATATTCAGGTATATCTGTTCACCTTCATTCATTTGGCTGATTATGATATGAGAGTGAATAGAAATGAATTTTCTCTCGTTTGAATGAAAATGAAATTCCTGCCATTTAAATGAAAATGGCTGAAGGATTCCGTCATTTCGGATGAATGACTGTGAATGAAGAATGAATTTCCTTTAAATTAACTGAAAATGACTCAGATTCCGTCATTTCAGATGAAGGACTATGAATTTTCTTTCATTTTTCATCGTGCATATTTAATTCATGGGCGTAATATGAAATGAAGTTCGATGAAATGAAATAAGTTTGAAAGAGAAAATGACTGAATATGAATGAATTAAAATATTCACTAAGAAATCGGGATGAATGAATTTTTTTATTTTTTGAACAGGTATGCCTCCAAGACGAAGATGGCGAGGAAGGCGTCGACAAAAAATGGAGCTGTGACGAGTGCGAAGCAACCTTCGAGTGGCCGTCAGGACTGAACGATCACGTGAACATGGTCCACCTTAACGTCACCCGGTACGAGTGTGACCTCTGCGGCGACCGGTTTTTCAAACTGGGCTCCCTCAACAAGCACGTGAAGCGACACGAGACCACGAAAATGGACAAGCTGCCAAAGCGAAAGCGGGGGAAAAGGAAGTCACGTGGTGTCAGCAGTCCTGTCAAGAAGCCACGTGGTCGGGGCACACGTGGCAAGAAAAAATCACAACGGGCTGAAGAGGTAGTGTTTCAAGATGTGATTTTCGAAGTTTCTAACGAAGTAGAAATAATGTAGGTAGATAAAATCTTGACTAAAATGTAAGTAAAATGTAGTTAAAATTTTAAAATAATTTCCAAAAAACACTGTGTACCCAGAACATCTGAACCGTTTCCATGTTATTGATGAAGTAGATAAATTAGCATACATAAATAAGTGTGCCTGTTATGCATATAATTTTTTAAATAAATAGTTCATAAGTGTATGTAAATCAGTAATATTTATAAGCGTTCAATCATTTTTACGTAATGTTTCACTTTCCTCTGACATGCTTTGTAAGTATTTATTTTTCATGAAAGACTTGTCCAGGAGGAAAAGCAATCAAATTTCAGATACTTATCTAAATATCGTACAGTAATACATGTTTTTAATAGAAATCTTGTCATGATTGGGGTAAAATATGAGCCTCAATTTAATGCTTAACCCTCAAGTTCCAGGGAATCACAACTTTTAATTTTGTTAAAGTGTGGACGTCGACCCCAATAAAAGTCATTCCTCCACGCGAATTCTGGCGTCCAGACCAACAGGTGGTACATACACAGTTAAAAATCTGGTAGAGTCCATACATATGTACATAGATACTCCGTTCTGGTATTAATTTGGTAATAATTTCCTACCGGAGTAGTAGTGACTTGTTTCTGAAAATTCGTTACCATGATTGTAAAACTTTATTACCAAGCCACTACCATACGGTACAACTTATCATTACCACTTTGGTAGAGTCATATATCTACTTGTGATTTTCGGTAATGTTTATTACCAGATTATCAGTGTCGGTAGAGTCAAATATGTGCATACTCCGGTCGGTACTGATTTAATACCAGTTTTCTAAGAGTGTACACATTCAAATAAAAACAGCGGAATGTTCAATTCTGCTTTAAATTTTACATGTAACTTTGTGTATCCAAACAAAGCTGCAATAATCAATATTATCATGGTACATACGATAAATACGATGTTAAATAACTTAGCAACACCACATTACAAGATTTATGTAAAACCTTTAATTAATGAACGCCCTTTTAATTAAATATTGTTTACACAACATTACGACAATGAATCATACATTATGAGCAAAGATCCTGTCTGTTGCAGACAGAAATTTTGTGAGATCAATGTCGTTAACGTGTCCAGAAAATTACTATTTCCGAATTTAACCTTCAATCTTTGTAATGAGAGGAGCTGTCTCCTTCTGTACGATTTCCTTCTCGCGTCTCTCTTCCAAGCCGAGATGCAATTTTCCGTCGTTACCACCAACAATCCTGACATCGTCTGCAAACTACTAACTCCACACAGCACTGTGAGATATCCAAGTGGGAAAAGTAACAAACCCGGGAGTGGAATACGGTCATGAAATTTAATAATTGTTAACAACGCAAATATTTGAGATATCGGGGCGAGAACGAGGGTGCTAGGAACGATCTTAAATTTTCCGCAGTCGTTCATTATAACTTCTAGGATTTGTAGACTTCTGAGGATTTTGAATCCTTTTGACAGCGTGCTAAACAAATACGTAATAAGAATTATTAGTTCTGCAGTTTATGAAGTGTGTATAGTATAAATATGTATACTTGAATAGTTAGGTGACCTCGGGAACTAAGGTTTTCTGAGATAATTTGCACACTTTTAACTGAAGTATAGACAATATCACTAAATTCCATTAGGTTACAAGATTATGTCTCACAATGCGATGGTGTAAAGTGTAACCCTCCGATTTGGTTGAAATTTTGAAATTACGTGGCACATGTCAATACAACCAACGTTTCTTGAGGCAGTTTGTGTGATGGTCAGTATTTGCCAAAATATTTGAGGTCAAAGTTGAAAAATGTGCAATTTTTAGGACGGGAAGAGAATTGAAGTTGAGTTTGCTTCCTCCACCTGGTAAAAATCGACCGTTTTTCAACTTTGACCTCAAATATTTTGACAAATTCCCACCATCGCACAAACTGCTGCAAAAAACGTTGGTTGTGTTCACATAATTTCGAAATTTTAACCAATTCCTAGGGCTAGGGTGACCATACGTCCCGGTTTTGATAAAGTGTCCCGGTTTTTAAAATCATAGGAAAAAATTAAATTATCTCACTTTTTCGCCAAAATATTGATGAAAAAGTAGATTTTAGCACATAGGTACCAGTAACGTGCATGTAATATTTACTTAATTGCATTTCCTGGCTATTTCTAAAAATTCGGTGATATCGGAACCGTCAAGCACTAGATATTATGAAAAAAAATTTCGCCAAGCACAGATATTATGGAAAACTAGCCTATAAGCCCGTCCTCAAGACGGGCCACATCAATTATTTTTCACGATCATTGCAAGAATATTAAATTAAGCCAGTACATAGTAGACGCGATGAACTAAGCTCGAAGAAAATTATAAATCAATATTATTATATTATTATATAAGTAAACAAACATCAAATGTACTTAAGTCAGTAAGTCACTAAAGTCGTTTGATATTTATTATCGAAATCCAAAATGAACCAGTAATTTTTATTCTGTTAAGGATTTTTGAGGTTCCTATAAGGATTTCATTAATGTTGCCGCGGAAAATTTTTATGTTGCCAAGGAAATTTTTTTATGCTGCTAAGGAAATTTCTTTATTTGCTAAAGAATTTTTTGACGTTTGTAAGGAATTTTGTTTATGTCGCCAGGGAATATTTTTGACGTTGCTAACGAAATTGTTTTATGTTTCTAAGCAAAATTATTTATGTTGACACGACATCTTTTTATGTTGCTAATTTTTTGAAATTTTCAAAAAATTTTTCAAAATTTCAAGGAAATTTTTTGACGTTTCTAGGGATATTGTTTTATTGCTAACGAAATTTTTTATGTTGCTAAGGAGATTTTGGTGTAGATTGAAACAAAATCTTTTAAACAACAACTTAGATCAATGCTAATTCAATTTTCGGATTTATCATGAAATTTTGAGAATTTTCATGTGCGACTTGAATTTCCAAGTATTATTGCATATTTTCAGGTTTACATGTTAAACACTAATTTTCGATTTAATAGTCAAAGTCAATGATAACGTTTAAAATTGCACGCTAAATTCGTTTCTTAAATTAGTTTTTCCCTACTACATAATTTTAGGAATTTGGGTTCAACCTGCCCCAAAATCTGGAAAAACCCACAAAACCCACAAAAACCCAAAAACCCACAAAAACTCCAAAAACCCCGGAAAAACCCCTGGGGTTGGGTTTTTCTAGAAAAACCCCGGGGTTTTCCGAACCCTGTTGATGATGGTTTTTTTGTACGTTTCGAAGGTAATGTTTTTACGTGGCGAATGAACTTAGTTGTAACATCGGTTGTAACATCGATTGTAACATCGATTGTAACATCCGTTGTAACATCGGTTGTAACATCGATTATAACATCGATTGTAACATCGATTGTAACATCCGTTGTAACATCGGTTGTAACATCGATTGTAACATCGATTATAACATCGATTGTAACATCGATTGTAAAATCGATTGTTACCACGATTGTAACATCGGTTGTACCATCGATTGTAACATGGTTGTAAGCTACATAAATTGTACCCGAAAATATATGCGTGCTGTGATTGGCGGATTCAGAAAGCTGACAACCAATTAGAATGCTGGGATGTCACGGAAAATTTCACGGGACGGACTTTTCAAAATTATAATATAGATTTTGTTTGCCAAAAAATGTCCCGGTTTTGGTCAGGACAAATATGGTCACCCTACCTAGGGCTACACTGCTTACCATCGCATTGTCAATGGAATGTCATTAATTTGGAACGGTGGTTAGCATTATCGGTATAAAGCAAGGAAGGTGGAATTTGGTATAAAAGTGTGCTTTATATTATAAAGCACATATAACTTATAAAGTTTATAAGTTATATGTACATATGTACGCAGTTTTTAAACTTTCTAGTCCGAACCGTTCTAACAGCGAAATTTTCGAATATGTTTCCCTACGTTACATGTAAACATGGATTATCACCCCTAAAGTTAGCTAAAAAATTTTATAGAATTTTTGTGCACAACACAAATAAAGGTCATAACCGCTTTATTTATCTATCACCTACCTATTTCCAAGGCCCATCGAATATTGAAGAAGTGCGTAGATGCTGACCAACATGGTGTAGAAGGAGTAGAAGAATCCGTTATGTATTACTGTAACTATATGGAATGCTTCCACCGTGCTAATCCCGGCCCACGTGGACCACTGTATCTTACTTCGGTCAAGATTCCCGCACTTTTGACAACGTAGGATTATTGACCCCAGGAAGGGGGCAGCACACGGGTCCATGAAGAAGCGTCCAAGGACACAGAAACATGTCGTTTCAGGGATCGTTGATAGGAGAAACAACGTTGCTTTTAGTAAAGTCCAATTATTCCTGTGTTGTATCGGATTGAGTTTATCTGTTAAGTTTCAAAAATTTACTTGTTATGAACTCTTTTTTGTCTATTAAGGTGAGCTTCGGGGAGTCATTCCCGCCCGTCTCATTCTGCCCCATGTTTCCTTATGGAGGACTTAAAATTAACTTTTCGGCGTTAATACTCAATCCAATTTAAATGTTATTGCTTTAAAAAATGCCATATTTTTAACTTAACAAAACTGTAGATTAGATGTTTGGAAAACATATTCCTTCCTCAATGGCGCCTCATAGGGAAGGAATTTTTTTCTTAAAATCTAATTTACAATTTTGTTAAGTTAAAAATATGGAATATTTTAAAGTAAAAACACTTAAATTTCATTGAATATTAATGTCAAAAAGTTAATTTTAAGTTATCCATAAGGATACATGGGGCAGAATGAGACGCACGGGAATGACTCACCTTAATTGTTCAAGAAATATTAATTTCGGTACATACCATAGGTCGCATCGAATTTAACAAGCGCATTCATAAGCGCGGCCGTTTTCACGTTTGGATTCCAATTGCAGCTGAATAGGAGCAAGTTTAGCGTACAAATAGCTATCATTACACCTTCCATCATTTGCCCGTGGCACTTGTTCTCTTTTAACCGGTAAACCACCCTGCACATCGCGAAGAAGTATACCCACTCCAAAATTTGTACGATTAGTCTAAATTTCCTTGCGAATTTTGATTCCGCTATTGTCACTTCATTCGTGACTTTGTTAAAGTCGTAGGGTGCAGCTTTTAGAAATTTTAGAGCTTTAATTTGAAATTCGAGATAAGGTAGAAATATTTCCGAAAGCATTTTGAAGTTTGGTCAGAAAATTAAGGTTTTAGTGGATGTAAAGAAGTTCAGAATTATAAAAAGTATTGCACAAATTATTATGCCTGCAGGTAAACTTTAGTGGGACAAGAGTTTTAAAATTTTAGTAAATACTTAAGTATTGGTAATGAATCATTACCAGTTTAAGTTTAACTAGCCTATAAAATAAGGATAACCTTAGGATTTATCACGAGTTCGCATCATTAGAAACTTAATTATCAAGAAAATATGTACAGTTCGAAAAATGCAAAATCGCAAAATTTTTGGGCTGAAAAATTATTTTCAAACTTACATACGTGTCTACAAGGCTGGTTAAATGTTTTTCGTAAATTTGTTTCGATACAAACAGGCGAACTCGTAATGAATACCCACATCCTTATTAAATAAATAAGTTGTTAAATGTATTGCTTAAATGTTCTGTAGAATGAACTATCAGTATATGGATGGAAAAATTCCTTGATGAAATTAGTGCACGTGGAGAAATTTGTATAAATAAATATTATCTACAGGTTAGAAATTCCGTCAACTGTCAGATAATAACAAGCCATTTTGGTAAATACATACATATGTGTGCATACACTCTAAGAAATCCGGTAATAAGTTCTTAATACCGCGTATTACCGCCTGTGTGGTACGATTAGGTATCACCATCAGCGGTAATATGGTAAAGCTCTACATACTACTATTTCTTCCACCAAGTGGTAACAAAGACTACATAGTATCTACCAGCACGGTAGAGCCATATATGTTTACCGCGTGGTAATAAAATTTCTTAAGTGTATGTACATATGTATCTGTTCTGCAATCTGCATGCGACAATTATCCATTTTGTTGGTTAAAATAGCTGTAGATATGTAATTACCAGGGACGTTTCTCCACAAAAATTAAACGAGGATATACAGTCTATAATCTTGTTTTTTTTTTATTCTCGAATATATATGAATCCAAAAGTTTTTGTTCAAGCTACATATTTATTAAAAATACAAAATATCCAGAACATGTGGAACTACAAATTACATACAATTTTTCCCATAAACCCATTAAAATAGCGGAAGACTAATTTAACTTTACAAAAACTTAAATTTGGAAAGTATCTATGTATTTCTTGATTAATTTGTTAAAACTCCATGCTAAAAAGTAATATCTATGTACATATTTTAAATGTTTCGTTTTGTCAATTGTCCTTTTTGCATTTGTAACTTTTAATTTTAATGACTTCTAGACGAAAATTACTAGTAATCAGTAATTTTTGACATGTCATACATACATACATATGATAACCCTTAAATATATACTTGGAGCTACATATTTACATAAGGAATGACGTATAGCGGTTGAGACTAAAAAATGCTTGCGAATTAAATATGTAACAATTTGTAAAATCATTAGAATTTTTTTTAAGTTGGGGAACATACCGGAAAATTTTTACAGAATGAAAAAGTAGAAAATAAATACATAACCGCCCTCTGCTAAATACCCGAGGCCATGATTCGTCTTCTTTCATCCTACACTCCAATCCTGAACTTGAACAGTGAAATATGTTTCGACACGAGGAAGGCGACAATTCTTTGGTCACATTCCTCCGCAAACTGTGAAATAAAAAAGTTTGGACATACGGAATTTTAATTGTATTAAAATTTTAATTATGTAATTATGTATGAATCGCAAGCTCACGGAAAAGTTTGAAATTTTGACATCTTCCAATTCATCCAGTGCGATAAGGACTGTCTCAAAGGTGGCCATTTCCTCCTCTGTGAACTCCTCGGTCATATTGTGTCTTTTGTGAGATCTGATTTCCAGAGTTTTCAACCCTGAAATTAATCAAGGGGGACATTTTATCAAATAAATTAACGTTAAATTTGATTAGCTATCGTAAAAAAATCGCCAAAATCACTACATTTCTTAATTCTGGAAATTTAGTTTGAAGTTCTAGATGACAATTTGTAGTCAACGATTTGATTAACGGTTCTGAGTTTTTTAAAGCCAGTTCCAATCTTTCGGAAGACTTCTTATATAAATTTCCGAGATTTTCTCATTTAAACAGTATCAAACTCTGGAGAATATTTATACTTATTAAAAATTGGGAACAACCTTCTCCACAAATTTGTCACCCAGAATTTTGAAATAAGTTTCCAGAGAAGAGAAATCGTTACTGAAATGAGAGAATCGTTTGATGAGGCGTGCAATCCAAAATTTCACCTTTATGCAAGTTCTATGCTAATTTGATCATGTAAACTTAATAAGTTAAATTTAATACCAACTCAATGCTATAATTTCTACTAATGAACATATATACATGTTCACATTCATTCATTTAATGATGAATGTATAAATTATTCATTCAATATTCAAATTTTTAATGAATATTGAATCAATATTTTATTTTTATTTTTGAATAAATGAATATTAAGTGAATATCTGCTCAATTCGTATGAATGAATAATGAATGAATATTTTTTTCATAATTCATTTTTTATCTACTCAATGCATAATACACAGGGAAAGTTGAGAAATTTACTTAATACTGTGAATTTTGAATTAAATGAATAATGAAGGAATGTTGAATAATGAATAATTAATCAATATTTTTTTTACAAATTATGAATGAATAACTATATATTTGCCACTCACTCTTATACAACTCTCCGCCACTCGCCAGCTCCCCGATGAAGTCCTCGTTACCAGCTGGATACGTGGGCACCGCCAAATTCAAATGTTTCAGCGCCCCCCAATCCGAACACCCCTGGAGGACGGTGCCCATACCCCACTTCATCGCGGAGAAGACCTCCGCCCACAAAATGTCCACGTGCAACCGCTCCACGTTCGGAAATGCGGTCTTCATCTCGTTCAAAACTCGCGGAATTATCAGCTCTTTCACCCTTAAATTCGTCACGCTTGCAAAAATCTTTCTCGATTTGCAAATCCCGGCCAAGAACTTGTCCAGGCAAGTAGACATTTTTAACAGTTTGCCAATCTCGAGCGATTTCAGGGCTGGCATTCCTTCCAAATTTTGAATGAGATCGTTCGGCTCGAAAACGTCGATAATATCGTTGCGAAAATTTCGCAATTTGGGAAATCTTTCGCCTAATTGGAATCCGGTACGTTTCAGCTCTTCGAAATCACAGGACATGTTTCTCTTAGCATCCTCGACATCATACCTGTTCAAGGATTGGTCTTAATTCAAATTTCAAAAATTTATAACAAATTATTCATTATTATTCATTAGTTCAAGATTTAAAAATAAATTATCATTCATGTTTTACTCATTTTATCTCAAATATCAGTTGATTAGATGATGGATTTTTCAATATGCACTAGATATAAATATAGCGAACAATAAGTAATGAATAAAATTATTCATTCATATTTCATGAATATATGTAAAATGAATAGAAATTTGGTCATTATTCATTCATTAATTCAAAAATTTTAAAATAGCATAAAATCATTATTCATGAATTTATCGAATGAATAGTTTATTCACTCTGTGTTAAATGAATGAATTTGAACAGGTGAGGTTTCTTGTTGGCATACCCAAAAGTTAGAGCGACGAGTTGTTCCCCCACTTGTCCCAACATCCTTGAGAGTTCGGAATTGCGCTGGATCGCGCGAGTAAGGTCGTCTGACCGCGCGTCATCTAGCGAGATCGCTAAGGAGTCGAGACATTTAGAATTTCCTAAATCCGGATAAAATCCGAGTGGAAGGGTGACCTCTCTCAAATTGGGCGAGGCGTTGATCACCAGTTGAATAAGCCTGGACAGTGGTGGGATGTCAACCTGTTCAAAATATATATCTTCATTCAAAATTCAATCTACCTGATAAAAAGTTTCAAAAGCAATTCATAATTTCAGATTTTGAGTCTAATAATTATTCGTTATTTGTTTTTTTGTTCATTCAATCTCAAATCCTCCTTATTTGATTGATTTCTCATGGCTTAACCATAGGGTGAAAAATGAATAACGAGTGAAATTATTCATTCACTCTTCACGAATTAAAAATGAATAAATATGTCATTCGTCCAAAAAATTTGACAAATGAGACACCAATTATTCATTAATTTATTGAATATTGAGTGAGTAATTTTTCATTCTGTATTACATAATCTGTACTAAATAAAGGGCCATTCATAAATTGTGTGTCTCAAAAGTAGCGTTTTTCTAGCCCCCATGAATATTGCAGCCTTAGACCTTCCCGCACCCCTTTCGCGATACGTAATTTATGAACGGCCCCTAAAATGAAAAGTTACTCATTACCTTCATCGAACTGACGGAGAACACCTCTAAAACGGATTTGAGTTCCAGTGGGACACATAAAATTGGGTTCCCGGCCACAACGGGAGCCAAACTCACGTCAATCTCCGTCCGACACGTGATCCTCAATTGTTTCAAATTCGGACACGAGTTTTTTAGAGCGCGATAAATTGAATCCAAACACCTCTCGTAGTCGATGGAAATGTCCAAAATTTGAATTTTGCCACTAAATTTGTCGCAAACGTGGGGGAATTTGGCAGCGAAGGAGTGGATTACAGGAAGCTCGGGGTATGAGTGACACGTGGCGTTGATCCGTTTCGCGAGACGGGGGTCGAGGGTGGAGCACATGTCGAAAAATGGGACCGGATCGTGGTCAGGATTTAGCTTCTTGCTTGGGTCAAGTTTGAGCGCGAATTTTGTATTTGGAAGGGAGAGGACCATGTCGTTCCAAAAGTGGGAAACGAGACGACAATTTTGTAACGGCGGAGATCTCTTGGCGGGGAGTTGTTTTAAGATTGTGGTCAAAATCTGGGGTAAATTAGAAATGACATCCGGTTAGTTTTAAATTTTACAGTTTTTACTCATTTTGTTTCTTAGGAGGGAGATGTGTGAGGTGGTAAACTCGGATTTTTATTAGACTAATTTTGAATTGTTCACGCTCGGAATCCGTATTAATCGTTTTAGAGAATGCATATTTTAAAAATATGCATATGCAAAAAAAATTTTATTTTTTTGTTAGAGGTTGAATTAAGGTCAAATTATTTTTTTTTTCAAAATGCTCTAACTTTCAGAGTTTAAACCCAATATTCGTACAGATTGCTTGAAATTATTATATTATCTGTTACTGAATTTTGAAAAATTCAAAAAACCTTAATTTTTATCCAATCAAAAATTTTTGAAAGTGGAATTTTTGTTAAATTTGAAATTAATCTTGTCAAAATCGGAGATAATCACCTTACACCTCTCCATTCTAAGAATATTTCGCAAATGTACGTACAATTGGATTACTTAGAGCGAGCTGTTGCTCATTTGTGTCTCTTTGAGGCTTGATTACCCCAGAGCCGATGTCAAGTAAAACTTCCCTGTTAAATAATAAGAAATGTTAAACTGTTTTGCATTTTTGTAAAATATGTAAACAAATACATATTTTTTTCGTTTTCGATATATGTATAATTAAAATACAAAATATTATGGGTTTCCATGTCAATCAACAAATTTGCTTCTTTACAAAAATCGGTGTAGTGAATGACCTGTTTTACATGACTGAACATATTTACATAAAATGCAAATTATGGACTGGTCACTGATTGAAAGTGTCAAGATTCCCCCTACTTTTTCAAGCACTTAAAAACTAATTTGAGGTGTGTAAAAAAGCATAAAAATTTGCAAATTTGACAAGCTTTCTAAAACTTAAAACAGAATTTGATTATCTCTTTTGGTTAAAAAATGACAGCACAAAATTTAGAGGAAGTGCAAAAATTAGTTTGCCACTCGGTCAAAAAAGTGTTTTTCTGGAATCGGAAAAAGGCTCCTGACCACCCCATTTTTCAAGGGATGCATCGGACAAAATTAACCATACATTATACAGATATAGGGATCGTGAAAATGTAAAATATTAAATTTGGCCTTGTCGACCTGTCACCCAGCAGACCAAAACCCTGACGAAAAACACGAAAAAACTTTTACAGAAAATCCCAACAGATCCGTGAGGGTTGCACCCAGACAACTAAAAATTTCAAAAACCTATCTGCGCAAGATCATAATCAATAAGTTGGGCTTCAAAACTTGCAACATTATAACCTCGCCAAAATATAATGAAGATAAAAAATCTGGGACTAAAACAGTTAGTGGAAAACTTGTTGAGAAAATGTTAAAGTCGACTACCAGAAGCTACTCGTCGTGGATCATGAAAACTACTGTGCATTTGACCTCGAAGCGTCAAGCCTGTAAAGTTATACTCATGTAGAAGTAAAAACGACGTTCGTTCGAAATATAAATTCAAACCCAAGGATAATTTCCAATGAAATACATAAAATGGCTGGCGATCGACAAAAATCGGAGCGTCTCAAATCCATTCGCTTCCACGAAGAATATGAACTTTGAACTTTAGTTTAAAGAGTCTGTCATGAAAAGATTGACCCCCTCTATCAAAAACAAACGCGTTTTATTTTGGTCTGAAATGGGTACGTGCTAGAATACTAAAATAGTGCGAGGGTACCATCGAGGGAAAAAAACTGATTTTGTCGAGAAAAAAGACATCGGTCCAAACGTACCTCAATGTCGGTCCATTGAAAGATTTTGAACATTAATTTAGAAACAATATACTCGGAAATAAAGGAGACCCAACAATTTTGAAAAATTTCTGCGGGGTATGGAGAAAACCATCATAGAAATTGATGAAACGAGTGGCGAAGCGTGTTAAATGTACAATGATGTATTTATGAAATTGTTTTATGTATTTTTGTAAATTGTTGAGTATGCGTCTAAGATTGCCCCGTGACGTGGTGGTGGTTGCCATGGTGACGTCAGGGTGGGATTTTGAGTGCGAGTCGTCATTTGTTATAAGTCGTAGTAAGTAAGTAGGTGGAAAAAGTCCACACAGTCGAGTTTTAGTCGTTGTCAAAGTCAGACATTTTGGATTTTAGTCGTCGTGGTAGGAAATCAAGAGTAAGAATTGTTAATTCTTTGTAATTGATGTCCACGATTAATTTGTCAATAGTAAGTCACCAATCAACTCGTGTTAGTGCAGAGCTCTGAATTGTGTTGACAATTTGATAATTTGTTGAAAATAAAATCCAGTTTAAGTAGATAAAATAATCGTATATTCACTCAGTCGCTTTCTTTAATTCCAACGAGCAAGGCACAATTAAATATTCGTAAAGACACTATACTTCGGGTAGGTGATAGCTTGGTTTTTACAAAGCGCTTATTAGGGGTGTTCGGCAAAGCCTTCTCTCCGTCGTCATGGGAGATGTATTTTAACCATTGAACGACTGAAAAACTTCGGTCTGCTCATGATTAGTGTTACGCAAAAGTTTCATGACATTTGATTGATGCATGCATTTTTTGCAGAGCAAAATAACTTGACACTTTCAATCAGTGACCAGTCCATACTAATGAACTGAACCTTTACTTAACAAGTTTAAAAAAAATATTTGAAAAAGTTATTTCATGAAAAAACGAAAAAATTTGATCGTAAACCTGGCCAGATACAAATATAGAGAAGCAACCTTTATAAAAATTGACGTGAATACCCACATTTTTATTAACGGACTTACACAACTTGGAATCCGATACGCATCCCGGTTTCTTCAAGGTGTCGATTTAAATTATAGGTAGACATGGTTGTTCTTTTTGACGGTTTCAGGAATAATTTACTTATAAACAGTATTTATCTAAATTTAATTAAATCAAATTTGAGTAGAAATATGTCCCCTTATTTAGCTTTCACTCGAGTCGAACATGTAAATACATGTGGTAAGAAAATCTCTGAAAAGAATGATAGAAAACCAGTTTCTTTATACATAAATAAAAACGGCTCCTGACCATATCTACGGAACGTTCATATAGGACGTCTTCAAAACGTGGGTGGGTGAGTGAGTTTGGGTCGACTATCTAACTCGTATTCAGCATAGCATGAGTAGGATGGGTGGGTGGGGTGAAAGTCTCTGTTCTTTTCTGATGACGTAATATATGAACGTCCCGTTAAACAACATCTTGTCCATGGGGGAGGTCAAGATCTTCTGGAGGGTTGGACACTCTCCGGCACATACATACATACGTAATTTGGAGCCTGTACAATAAAGAATAAAATAAAAAAGGGTACTTTTAAGAGCTCAGTTTGCCTCCGGCCAAGAGGCGCTTACACTGCACTCAACCCTTTCAGCAGGTGATGGGCATCATCTATGTAGAAGTTGCCCTTGGCTTCCCAATGCAGGGTAACTACACATCATGAGAAAAATTGACTATACTGGACAAACCTAAGAAACTAGTTAGATCTATTGGTAGTAAAGAAGTATGTGAGTGTATGGTGAAGATTATCCGACAAGTGTTTGTACAGATTATGTGCATATCTGTATTTCTCAGCTACATATGTAGTACTGACTCTTGCAACATCGGAAACACACATGGTAGCTTTGCGTCTAAAAATTGTCAGTTGATAGGGGTAGGTAAGTTGTTGCTTCGTAAACCAGGTGTATGTACATATGCAGGGCGAAAATATGAGAAGAAAAACGCGACATCATGCAGGAATAGTCTCATGATACATGAATGATATTAAATAAATAACAAATACATACATACATTGTTTGTAGACATTAAATTTGAGTAATACTGAATGAATTAATTAATTTATCAAATTTTCAATGATATGAATGTCCATGTATAAATGGATCGACAACTTATTTATATTTCCACCGGGTCTCGACGTTCTGTAGACGGTGAAAATGTTCTTTATGTATGTAAGGTTTGTATTTTAAAATTAGACCCTATTTTGCATGCATATGTATGTATCTTATGAAGACAAGGGTCAAATTACTTATACGCAAAATACAAACAATTATTAATGATTTGCGGACGTAAGCCACCCACCATAAGCCACCCACCAAAAGCCACCCACCAAAAGCCACCCACCAAAAGCCACTCAACAAAAGCCACTCCCCATAAGCCACACAAGGAAATAAGCCACCCCAGAAAAAAGCCACTAACCAAAAGCCACCTTCTATGAGCCACCGTAGGAAATAAGCCACTTCTAGAAAAAACTACTCTGATAATCAGCATCTTTATTAATAAACCGGGGGTTTGACTACGCTTAGTCCTTGTGTTTACTAAACAAGCTGGAAATTTAATATTTAGATTTTCAAAAATTTTCAACCTCAGCTAAAATTTGGGATGTGAGTGTACAGTTTGAGAAATCACTCAATATAATAATTCGCTTCGTGGCTGCGAGTTCGAATGGAGCGTAGCAAGTAAGTCGAGTTATGGCATTGCTCTCCTCATTACCACACGATACTACTACGCTCCTGTCCCCATACAAAACTACACCAGAATTTTGTTTCCCACTCTATGCTACCTGGATTTGGGGGAACTGTGCGTGCACCACATTTGGGTAAAATAATAATATCGGCCGGTTCTCGCTACTTAAGTGATGCAGTGATGCTAATGATTACTATTTAAAAACAAATATCTCATTTAACACCATTTGGTTTATATTTATTCATTGTGACAATAATAAAGTCAAGTGAATCCTTAATAGTTCAATTCTTTTCCGGATCTTTCTCGCCTGCCGTATCGCTGGAAAATGGTTCACCTTCCTTCTCGACATCGGCAATGGCAGAGTTATTTCCATCCTTAGATGAACCATCTTGATGCCCACCTTCTTTCCTGACATCACCATTGACAGATGTGTTTCCATCATGGACAGGATCTTCTAAAAATGAAATAAAAAGGTTTCTATTAAAAACTGAGTACGACAAAATTTGTTTTATTTTCCACTGATTACCGATTTGACTTAACACATCGTCCATCCCATCATCCAAAACACCCACCCCTACTCCTGAGGCTTCTCGAGCGTGTAATCTCGCCTGTTGCTCCCCTACAATTAAACTTAACTCCAAGTTTCTAGCCTCCAAGCGAGCAATTTTCTTCTCTTTTTCCTCCCTTTCCGCTTTAAATTGGAATTCTCTCTTCAATAGCGCCTGCTTCTGGATGCCGTCCATCTTTTCCTTCGCCACGGGGTTGAGCTGACGGCAAGACTGGCAATGTAAATGATCTTCTACAATACAAAAAAATCATTCAATCAGTGAATTTAATTTGTCCTGACCCCGCTTTAATTTAATTTGCTCTGAAATAGTTTACCATGTAAAAACGACTTGCAATTTGAACATCGTCCCCATCCATCATCTCGAAATTGCATGCCATCAGGCCCGGCCCGTCCCAGTATGGGACACCCGATCTATTCATAACTATGACGTGCAATCCCAAATGGGATGAAGTTATGGAAAATTTACAACCTGGTCAAACTCCGGAGTTTAGACCCGATTTAGTTGCGAGAGTATTTCACATTAAACTCAAGGAACTTTTAAATGATATTTGCAAACGTCATATTTTGGGCACACCAGTTGCAAATGTGTATGTTATTGAATTTCAAAAACGCGGGTTGCCACATGTCCACATTTTACTGATTCTAAAGGTCGACTGCAAACCTAAAGACCCTGAAAGGGTTAATAAATTGGTATCTGCTGAAATACCGGATATAGAAATTTGCCCAAGATTACATGCAATTGTAACAAGACATATGATTCATGGACCCTGCGGGGAAGATAATTTACATTCCCCGTGTATGGCGAATAGAAAATGCACTAAGAAATTTCCCAAACAGTTTCATGATGAAACAGTAATTGAAGGAAAAAGTTACCCCCTTTACCGCCGAAGAAATACAGGCGAGATCACAATTAACAATAAAAAAATTGACAATCGATGGGTTGTTCCATACAATCCAGCCTTATCTTTAACGTACAATTGTCACTTAAATGTTGAGGTATGTGCCTCTATTAAAAGTGTAAAGTACTTATTTAAGTATGTTTACAAAGGGCATGATTGTGCTAATATTACAATTCGTGAGGAGACTTCTTCATCATGATGAAATAAAAACATACATGGACTCAAGGTATGTTAGTGCGCCCGAAGGCGCCTGGAGATTGTTTGGTTTCGATATGCACGCTCAGTCGCATAGTGTTTGTAGATTGGCTGTTCATCTGCCAGGAAAACATAGCATATCTTTTAATCCCGATAACATTGCCGCAGCCTGTCAAAAAAATGAAGAAGGTCTAACAACCCTAACTGGATGGTTCCATCTCAACGGCATAACAAGTGCCGAAAACCAATGCCTGTATGCCGACACTCCAAAACACTTTGTCTGGGATAAGCAAGCTCGAAAATGGAAAGCTCGGCAAAGAGGTGGTGAAAAAACAATCGGCAGAATGTACTCTGTTAGCATTGCAAGTGACCCAGAGCGATATTATTTGCGTTTACTTCTTTTACATATTAAAGGTGCAACTTCTTTTGAAGATTTACGCACAATTGATGGCATTATTTGTGAAACATTTCGCGAAGCCGCAGAAAGAATGGGATTGCTGGCAAATGATGCAACTTGGGATAACACCCTGGCAGATGCTGTGCTTAGCAGCATGCCAACACAATTACGTCAGCTTTTTGCCATAATTTGTGTCTTTGGTTCCCCACCGAATGTTGACCAACTTTGGGATAAGTATAAAGAATATCTGTACGAAGATTACAGTCGTCACGCCAATCACAATTCTGAATGTGAACAATGTGAAAACCTTGCATTGCGTGATATTCAAGATACCCTTATTACCCATCGGAAACAATGCGAAGATTTCGGTCTCCGAACACCACCAGCAAATATTCCTTGCAATGTAGAAGATTATTTTGATGCGATAGCAGAGGAAGAACTCGGTGCAAAAATGGTCGAGTCTTTAAATCGAGCACAAAAGGCAAGTTTTGATCAAATTCTTGATGCCATGGCTGACGAAACTTTGCAAAGTCGTTGTTTCTTTCTTGATGGCCCAGGAGGTAGTGGAAAGACTTATTTATACAGAACTTTACTAAGCACTGTTCGTGGCCAGTACGAAATTGCACTTCCAGTTGCTTCCACCGGAATAGCTGCAAATTTATTGCAAGGTGGCAGAACTTATCATTCACAGTTCGAATTGCCTCTGAACCTTGATGAATCATCAACTTCAAATATGAGATTGACGTCTAAAGAGGCGGATGTAATTCGCAATGCCAAAATATTAATTTAGGACGAATCTACAATGGCTCCAAGTCTAATTCACTGCCCAAAACTAAGTGTCACAGGTCACAGATACAGTGAGACTTATCCGTGACAGGCAAACTGTCCAGCCAGATCCATCTGGCCGGCTGGATTCGACAATGGTGGCACTGGGAGGATTTGGTGAGAATCTGGTGGTCTTCTTGTGTATGTATGTACATATGTAAATAAGCACATGGGATCGTGCATTAAGGATTTACTTAATGCCTGAGAGCGACTGTATCATGGGTCAATTCACCATTTGAGGGGGAGGGGGAGGTGATAAAATTCTGTGAAAGTGGAAAACATGCTTTATGCACGGGGCCCTTCCAGGAGAATACTTTTCTCTGCTTAGTTGTTGAGCAAGGAGAAAGTGTTCTCTTCTTTTTTGGATCTCATTCTGCCTCATGCGTTTGTACATCGCCGTACTTTGTAAAATGGACTATTTTATTGACTGCATCAAGTTAAGTTTTTTATGAACACGTTTTAAAAATTAAATTTTGAAAAACAGGCCGAGACAATGAGTTTTATATTAAATACATACTTCTCAATCTAGAAGAAAGATGAGATAGTGTTGAAAGATCAGATATGTTTGGGAGGGTTATTAAGATGTTTGGCAAAAATGGGGCATTTGGGAAAGGTGAGATATTTGTGGAAGATGAGGCATATGGGAAAGATGAGATACTTGGGAAAGATGAGATATTTGAGAATATGAGATATTTTTGACAGGTGAGATATTTATGGAAGATGAGACATTTGGGAAAGCTGATAAATTTTCGAAAAGTAAGACACGCAATGGTGAAGCCTTTGTAATAGATGAGATCTTTTGCCGATGAAATGACATACACACGTTTGTACCTATGTATCTGGGAAAGATGATATATTTTAGAAGGCTGAGGCATTTGTGAAAGACGAGATTAGATATTTGGGAAAGATGAGATCAATATTTTTGTGAAGTGTAGCCTACGAACGCCAGATAGCACTTCTAGGGGTTGGTGAGACACATCTTCTCCATGGTTTCATCCTCCCTTCGTCTTCCCCTACCTTTCAAAACAAGGACATATTTCGAAGAAAATATGTGCCACTTTTATGACACACTCATCTCCTCGTTTGATCATGCACTTCTGCAAAGAATTGAGATCTCCACCAAGATAACCTTGGACTGAATTAGATCTTCCTGGGTGAATCACAGCTATTCTTTTACATATCTGACAAGTAGTATGACATCTACTTTAGAATCATCTCATTCAGGGTGAGAAGTGAATAAATCTAGTTATTTTTTAGGGAGGTGAGTACATAAAAGCGAGGGGAGCAAAGATGGGATTTTTACAGTAAGCTCATCTGAGGAGGAATTGAATCCGGGTAGCACAACAACATTTCCCCGAATTCGGTGGGGTCATGCGACAAGAATGGGGTACGTTAAGGGGTGGAGCGCTAAGGTATGGATTTTTTGATATTTCATGTGATATACATCGTAAAATTTCCAGACTTTCGTTAAACCGTAGAATTGGAGACATTCTTTATGCATGACCCGCATCATCCAAACCTGCTTTTATGTACCTGTTGACTACTCGCTCACGTTGCTGAAGTTTTCTGTCTCACATTTTGAGCAGAAAGGATACATGCATGCGTGTCAATTTGTAGTTTTGGATTTCACTGTGAAAGTAGTAGATACATTTCTTCCCACCTTTGCAAATACGTGGATGGACTAATTTTTATCAAAATATGTCCGAAATTATAAATTGGGACGAATTGAGATGTCAATCAATTACGTAAATATAACGTAAATAATTAATTTGTCTCGTTAGAAATTGGTTTGTCATATCGTGTAAGAAAAAGGAGAAATGATTTTGACCGGTATAATTAAATATCCTGTAGAATGGACATATTTCACAAAATAATGGCATATTTCCAGAATGTAAGATTTGTCATTACTGCCATCAATAGTTTTGATCACTGTAAATGTATAGATAAGTAGTTGATATTTAATCCCAGTTAGAAAATAGCGTGAAGACGTATTTTTAGAGGTTTAGAAATAATTTTGTTAAAAAAAATACGTTTCAATATTTTTAGAGAAGTATTTTAAACTGCATTTTTATTGTATCTAAAATACATACGTATTTTGTCTTTCGAACACAATAATAACAAAATGTATTTTAATTTTATATTGGGAAACTTAAATAAATATATAATTATCTACTTAATTTTGTACTTTAAGTTACATGTATTTCCTTACGTCAAATGTACTGTACATACATTTTTATTAGTACATATGTATGTATGCTTCAGATCCTGTCTATTTCGCGTAAATATGCACGCTTACAATGCGATAGCGTGAAATGCAGCTTTCCGAGTTTCCTGAAATTTTAAAATTATGTGGTCCATGTCAGTACAACAGACGTTTCATGAGGAGTTTGTGCGGTGGTCAGAATTTGTCAAAATATTTGAGGTCAAAGTTGACAAAATGGGCGATTCTTACCAAGCGGAGGAATCAAATTCTCCGCTTGGTAAGAATTGCCCACTCCCATTCAATTCGAAGGGAGCAATCACACGTTTTTAAACTTTGACCTCAAATAATTACACAAATTCTGACCATCGCACAAACTGCTTTGTTGTATTGACTTGGACCACATAATTTTAAAATTTCAACCAAATCTGAAGGTTACCCTTCACACCATCGCATTGTCAGTTATTAGTATACAAGCTGCCGAAGATATTTAAATGCCACACCGCCTCCGCCACATGCTTAATACATAAGCCGTTGGCGTTGATATCTTGCATTTACCGTTAATCAATAATCAATATAAATCTTTAACTGTTCACTTACTCACATTTTAACTATAATTAAAAAATACAAGGAAATATATTGGGTATAAATATAAACGTAAATTGATTCTTATCGCCTAATCCTAGGACTATGTATGTATGTACGAACATATGCTCGACTACACATTATTTGGAAAAGCAGCCTGACAGGGACATTTTTCGGTCGCCGAATGAGCCATAAATGAGCGGATTTATGGCAGAATTCATCATTGCTAGGACGAAAAGACCTTCTTGAATCCATCTCGGGACGGAGGACAAGGCGCTGGCACGATTTACCATGTACCTGCACAAAAGTCAAAATGATTCACATGAGCAACAATAAATCGTTGCAAATGAAGTGTAACAAAGAGGTGAAGCGACACGGTCATGGCACGTCAAAAGTATGTCTATTTCTGAAATCCTTGCTCAAAACCACGTATAAAATGATAAAGACGAAAGGGGGGACACGTTTGACACTTGGCGTCATCTCCGTGGCTCCGTGACCCTCATCTTCGAACTCATCCGTGCTTCAAAAATTATAAAGTTGATGGCGAAAACTATATAACAAAATTCGAATCCGTTCTAATATTATCGTGGATACGGACAGAGGGGCGGATGAACAGACAAGACATTTCCATAAAGGGATTTCGCTTATTAATCAAAACGGGGAATTCGAAATATGCAAAAAAAACCTTGATTCTGTTAAGATTTATACAGCTAATTTTTAATAATTGGATTGCACGGAGTTTATTTAGTGGAACAGTCGAAAATAAAAAAGCTAATTTTTATGCGTCGTAATTAATGTGCGTCCCTTTACTTATCTACTTACCATAAGGTCATGACGACATATGGCGTCCAGCAGAGGAGAAACGTGGCTAGAATGATAAACGTTGTCCGGAGCGTTTTCACCCTGGCCCGTGCCAGAAGTCGGCCCCCTGCCTGATTCCGTCGCAGAAATGGAGGTGATCGACCCCTCTCCGACTCCGAAGGTGATACCAGGTCAATAACAAATAGTCGTGTTGGATCCAATTGCAGGCCGTGGGGCATTTCCCCTGGGAAAATTGGGTTCCCGGATACTATTTCTGGCTGAATTGCGTCAACATCTGGGATAATTGAAGTAATCGGAAAGTTGCCATGAATTTTAGTCGTGTACTGATCTTCGTCTTGCTGAGAGGGAGTTACTGATCTGTGTTCATCTAATAAAGGAAAAAAATGAGAATTTTTTGAGATAAGTAATGTTTCTGAGAAGTTTTGTTTTCATGTTAATGTCGTTGGGTTACAACAATTACCTATATATTAATAATATTAAAATGAATTAGAAAAAAAAAGTTCTTCATTAAGGGGGGAAATACTCGCTGTGCTACGATTTTGAAGTATGAAAAATTAACATAGAATAATATTAAATAGATTCATATTCCGTGACAATATTAGGGGCGCACTTAGCCAGTTTTGTTAAGATACAAGTCTAAATGTGCGAATTTTTCGCTAATTTTGAGTTTGGCCTAAAACTAGTCAAATACTACTGGAATTACTTCGAAAGATTATTTTGGACAAAATTTTAGCCCCTGTCACGAGTTCCGACCCCTGTTGTCCAATTGGTTGACCTTTAATTACATTCTCCCTAGAGGATATGCATGCATAATTTATGTCACAAAGAAATCGCAAATTTCTAGATCCCCCTTTAACGTATGTCACATATCTATGTAGGCACGAGCCCTCGACCTTTTCCCCCAACTCCCTCTTGCGTGACATAATTTATGGACGGTCCCCGGTTACGATCACGATCGAAATATGTAAATATGCAGCGTTTTAAGTTACCCCGTAGCGTAGCTTGTAAATATGGACCGGATTCGTTAATTAAAATCAGTTTAAGATTTACATATTTATTCCGAATGTTGTAAACTAACAGGAAATTTTGTTAAATCGTCCCTTCGAATTTCGCTTAGTTTTTCGCTTACGTCCTGATAAGCCAGCTCTCGGTTAAGTGCAACCGGGAAGTGGTCGATTAGCTCCAGTCGGAACAAAATTTGGCAATTGTCATAATTTCTGCGATGCTATCGATTTAAGCGAAATTTGCAGCGTATATTTGTTCGTTTGCCGGAAATCCCCCACTAATTTTTAATTTTCTTAAGACTGCCAAAGAAGCGATTAACAAAGTGGCGACACTGACCTAGAAGCGATTGTGTTGATACACCCCACTTCCATATTAATGGTCCATCATCTGAGGTCCATCGTCCATCGTCGTCCTTTGGTCTGGCCTTTTAAATTTACCTGCCGAAAATTCGAGTTTTTTTTTCTTAAAATTCTCCGAAAATTCGAAGGACACCACCCGGTCCTTGGGTGGTGTCCTTCGCATCGAATATTTTACAGAGGATGCTCCCATACGTGAAAATGATGACCGTCACGGGAAGAAAGTAGACCATGGAGAGGGAAAATATACTATATGTCAACTCTTGCGCTTTATTCCGAATTATAAACGAGGCTGCGACACATTGCTGGAAGCTGACTTAATTCGTGAAATGAGGCGGGTTCAGGGAACAAGGTCGTGGTGTTATCGGGTAATTCGAATCCCCGGTAATTTCGAAAGGGTTCTCCGCCATCTTGAAAGACGGAGGTGCCCACGATGGCGGAGTATTTGAAGTGAGGCATGCTGTGACGGGGTTGTTGGGGAGAAAGTTGTGTCCAGTGTGAGAGGCAGAGCTCAACTGTTGGGTTTTAGAAAGCGTGGGAAAATTTGTGTAACAAGCGAGTTAGTTGTGACATGTACATTAGGGCATGAAATGTGTACAGTCAATGGAACAAGTATAGGCACCACCCACGCAAGCTACCTAAAATTGCCTATAACTTTGGAATGCATTATCAAATTAGCATGAAACTTTGTACACATTTAGCAAATCTAATGTAGTGTTCGATTATAATCATGTTTTATTGATTAAAATTGGATAAACATAGTTTTTAAATAATTTGTTGGAAAATATATAAAATTAACCCGCAAAAAGTATTGGCACCCTATAACTTATAAAATCATAAATCAAAGAATCGCCAATTTTATTACGTCACACTGCTTCTAATGTTACGTGGCACCTCCCCTCGACGCAATAAGAGCATAAATAGACCGTTGAATTGATTCGACAAGTTTCTTTATAACGCTTTTCTATATGTCTGCCAAAACTTCTTTCGAACTTTCGACAAGCTCGTTTTTCGACGATTGGTTTCCCATCAGTCCCTCTTTTCTCAACCCGGACAATCAGAATCACATCGGGAGACTGTGCGGCCAACGAAAGAAACTTAACCTTTTCGGTTTCCAAAAATGTGCATCGATAATTTGGATGCATGTTTTGGGGCTACTGCATTTTTGGAATATGAAATTCCTTTCTAGGTTAGGTTTTTGTCAAATGTTTCAAATTATCGCTTATAATGATTACTTAGACCTCCCTGGTCATGATTTTGTCGATAATTACCAGATAACTATGCCCGACCTAGTCATTTAACCCCAAACCACAATCGATCCTACGCTGTGTTTAACTGCCATATGCACATATTCGTTTTTGTGAGCCTTTTATCACATCCGCCAGACTTGGACCATTCAATTGGCTCCGAATAACTAATACTGGCTTACGTCGAAGCAGCAGACCCTTCTTTACTCAATGAAAGTCTATTTAGGGTGATATTGACCCTATTCCAATTTATTGAGCTTCTTCGTTTTGAGGACCCTCGCGTTTGTCGGGCAACTGGACCCTGAAACCCCATGGCATGATTTTTTATTGATCACCATATTGCATGATCTGTTGACCCCACAGTTCGTACTCAAATTCAACATGATTTTGGAGGTTGAAATATTCCGATCTCGAGTGATAGTTTGCTTGATTAATCCGTTGATTTTAGGATTAGGCGGCTTTTTAGCCGGATCATAAGAAAGCAGGAACTAAAATGATTGCTTCATGTCCTTTGGCTACATTTCGAATAGTAAATATCACGGAGCATGTGTCCTGTCTGAGTTTTCGATATCCAAGCTTGTTTGAGAAGGAGGCAAGATTATTTCTCGCTCCGCCAAAAATAGCTCGTTTGGTGTCGCAATTTTGGCTGTAGACAATACCAATCTGGACTTACGAAGCAGATAAAGTTATATTTTGTGATCTGATTAACTTACCGTGACAAAAGGCAGAGGTTTATCGTTATAAAAATTTCGCTCAAATAAGTAAGACATAAGGTGCCAATACTTTTTGCAGGTTCCAACCTGACGTGTTCGTGTCAAAATCAGAATAACGTTACGGTTATATAATTTCAGTCGGGAACATGATTATAATCGAACACTACATTAGATTTACTAAATGTGTACAAAGTTTCATGCTAATTTGATAATGCATTCCAAAGTTATAGGCAATTTTAGGTAGCTTGCGTGGGTGGTGCTTGTTCCATTGACTGTAAATATGGGTGCGTGAGAGAAAGTGGGGTAAAATTGGATCCTTTTGTTGCTCAATATTATTAGATCGCCGCCTTGATTAGCATGAAAGCTATTGAAAGCATCTTGTCGGTGTGTCTTAGAACAATCATTTTGCATTAATGATTCAATACCAGAGTGTGCGTGGCCAGATGGATCTTCCTGCGTTAATTTACCCCTATTCTTTTTTGCCGATCTACTCACTAATGGGATTTTGCATAAATCATGTCTCCAACTCAGCCGGTGGAGGATATGTATCAAATCTTGTCCTTGTTCACAATTGGAGAAGACGAATAAAATTCGGTCACAGGTTCAAATACAACGACCTGTTTGAACCCTCTTTCTTGGGCTATCATACTTTGAAAGAAATTAATAGAGAGCGAGAGACTTTTAGAATTACATTAAATCACAGATTTGTCAAGTAAGAAATTATACCCACTTATGCATAATTATAATTACGAACTAAGTAATTACATACGAGAAGGAAGAGAAGGCAACACTCACGTCTCCGAGTTTTTCAGGTGAATCCTGCTTAGCTGAATAATACTAAATTAATTAATGAATTTATCAAATTTGTAATTCTATGTGTCTACATATCTCCATGAAAGATGGATGGGAAACCTTATATTTTCACCAGGTCTTGACGTTCTGCAAAGGGAAGGCTGGTGGTATATATTCATTTACGGGTAAAATGTTCTTTATGTCCGGTATGTACTTATTGTAAAATTAGATCCTTCTTGTATACATTTATTGTTAAGAAAAGGGTCAAATTATAAAATACAAAGCATTATTAAATCACTGCCAAAAATTTAATGTCACAGATTCAGCAAGGTTTTTATCAAAACTCTCCAAGCAGATCCATCTGGTCGTCTGCAGCGAATGGATTCGACAAGTTTGAGATTGGTGGCACTGGGTGAATCGGGTGGTTTTCTTGAGTATACATGTTCATAAGTATGTGGGATCGTGCATTAAGCATTTCCTGATTGTAGTTCATTTTCCACAAAACAACACAAAAAATCGTACAAGAAAAATCAAAACTAAAAGTGAAAATGTATTTTACTATTTGTAAAAAATAGTAACTTGTTTCCTCGCAATTGAATAAAGTTCAGGAACAAATCTGGTCTCTTGCAATCTTGTTTTTGGACATATGATATGTAAATATGTGTATGTGTAAACATGTAGATAAATATTAAACAAAAAAATTATAATAGAAAAATACTACATTACGCATATAAACTATTTTTAATACGAGCTAAAAAATGAATTAATGTCCTCTAAAACAGAAAGTATATAACAGAATGTAAACTTCCATAAATAAATGTTTAATTAAGAAAAATACAAAAGTATTTTAAAAATATTTATACTCTTATATTCAGTAAGTTATGTATTAAAGGTTTCGTGGTAAAGATAATAATTCTTCTTACAATTTGGTAGTCATATTTATTTACTGATTTATAGATAAATTATAACTGACAAACTTTTTAAATTTACCTTGTTGTAAATTTGGGAAAATTTAATTTGCCAGGTTAATTTTGTATTTCGTAATTGCGGAGAATGTGGACTAGTCCAGAGCTTTGCATCCGGTTAACTTAGCTGATTAGAAAATTAGAAAATTGATAAATTATTATAAATACAGATTAAGTTAAAAGTTAAATTCATTGCCAATAATTTCTTGTCCGGAGAAACATGTACCAGTACGCTTGACATACATATGCCATTTAACATGATAATAAATGATAATAAAAATAACATGATACTAAATTTGTATGTAATAAGAAGGTAAGAAAGCTTAATTGGTAAATGATTTATTATTTATTAAAATTTATGACCTGATGAAGGTATCTCTATGTGCCGAAAGTTCGTCAATACATTCAATTTCAAAAATATGTCCACCACGCCGATCAATCTAATTATATATGTAAATGATTTATTTAATACTTATAAAAACTTGTCAAAGCAGAAGTAAGATTAGGTTATTTTCTTCTCCACCAGTAAATATTTCCTTTCACACGGCATGACATAATCTGAATAGTCGTCGCCTATAAATAAATATTTGAAAATGTTTATGTTAATGCTAGTACTTGCACTTCCTCAAATTTTGAAGCGATACGTTGAACTTTGTGAGTCGCTGTAAGAAATGAAGCATTGCAATTCTTTAAAACTACCCCATTGGAATCGGAGTAGATATAAATTTCTTCACCTCCATCCACATCTGTTAGTGTAGCGTTGTTGCCATGGATATAAACTGAATTGAATATGCTGCTGCTTACTATACAATTGTTGGATGTGATGAAAAGTTCCGGCCTTGAATTTTGAGTGTTATAAGCCGTATAATTTTCGATTTGGTTGAAGTGTGCAAATTCCTCAAATTTAACAAGTGACTCACGATTCCCTCGGTATTTTCCCAGATCGAATTTGATTTCGCAGAACTTATTATACCCACCTGACGAGATAATACAATATTTAGCATTTTTAGCTGTGATATCCGATATGGTATTTGATGATCCACTAACACGTACACAATAACTTGTGACTCCATCAAGCATAATGCTACGCAATTCATTCTGGGAACCAGATATATTTATACCAACCCTAGCCTCAGAAATATTCACCTTATCAAATTTATTGTCACTACCAGATATCTTAATACACTCTTTTGCCCCGGAAAGAAACACGTCACGAAAACAGTTTTTGCCACCCTCAACCCTTAAACAAGTAGATCTTGGATCGTCTTGAATTTGCGTAATTTTAACATGTGAAATGTTGTGGTCCGTTCCATGCACGACAAGAACACTTGCACGTCCATCAAGTTCCAATACAGTGTTTTCTCCCTTCCCAATAATCGTGATGCTTTTGCCTTTCAAGGTAAAGTGTCCGACATAGATTTTTTAATTAACTGGATCGTCGATCCTGGTTTTGCGGTGGATAAAATATTATGTAGTTCCATCTCATCCCGTGCAATCAGCGGGAAGTTCCAAATGTTTTCTACTGAATAGTGTTGTTTTAAATCACAGAACATGAATTCAACGAATTGTTTGTTAATTTGATGTATATCTTGTAGCCGATCTGCTTCTTTCCTTTTCGTTAAGGCTATAACGAGATCACGTAACCCGAACGTTTCTGGCTTTACGGTAACCAAGGTTTCGTCCTTGTCGATAGTAAGGCCCTGGAATAATCTATGCCTCTCTTCTGATTTAATGAGCTGGGCTACCTCCCATATTATTAATCCCAACGAGTAAAGATCGGTTGAAAAGCTGTATTCATTACTTTGACTCTCAGGGGCCATGTAGTGGACCGTTCCTCTCCAACTTGTGAGAGAATCTGTTCCGCTTTTTTCAGAATGTAGATATCGACAAAGACCAAAGTCTCCGATTTTCACGGGAAGTACAAATCCTGGCTGGGAGAACATCACATTTTCTGGTTTAAGGTCGCGATGTAAGATTTTATGTTTGTGCAAATGGGCAAGTCCATCGATAAGGTTTTTAATGATGGAAAATTGTTCGTGAAGAAGGGTGGGACCTTCGATTTTACCTGGGTGGTTGAGCCATTGTCTTAAATTTTCACCGCACAGTTCCATCTGGAGACAACGTAAATTTAAATACGTCCCGTGCTTCAGGGTTAGAAGGAGATTATTTCGGATCACGATTTCTTTAACGGTTTTAAGGATACGTTCCGGTAATACGTCGTTGAACCGAGATTCAGTAAAGCTGCCATCAAGCACAGCGATGACCTAGATATGTCAGAGAAAAAACGTGTCACTACAATTTTCAACTTCCGGTCGATTATACTTATGGTTATGGCTGTAAGATAGAAATACTTTTAGAATTTAGAGAAAAACAATCCTCACCTTTACAATATTCTCATGTAGTGGTAGCGTTGTGGCGATTTTACACTCTCGCATAATTAGTTTCCACTCATCGTGAGGTTGCTCGCTTCCAAGTGAGGAAACTGAAGAAGGAGATTCCCGCCAAGCGCGGAAATAGAAATTTTATAGCATGGTTGGAATTGTTCCGTATATCTGTAGCTTTCATGACGAGGCCATACGCTCCATGTCCCAGGCTTGAGTCCATTCGAAAGAAAGATAGCTCGTCCTCATCGAGATTTTCATTATTTTGAAAAATTTGATGCGATGCCATTTCTTTAGACTTTTTGGAAACGAGGATATCAGATGGATAAAAACCTTCTTAGAAGAGTTGACCTGGATCAAAGATATAAATTTACACAAAATTTTGTTAAAACCCAACTTTGTTTTACCACAAAAAAATATATAAGCATGCACATAAAATATACATTTACCCCAAAAGTTCAATATATGTATATGTATTTTAATAAAATTTCGACTTACCGTAAAATTTATAAATCATCATCAGTTGGAAAGAATTATTACAAAATAGTTGCTCCTTCGCAGTTGTATGCATGTCTACGTGGCTGGTTTGTACGGCGATAAGCTTGCTCATAGATCTTATCATATAGATTTGCCGTTGACTCTTATCATGCAGTACAGCCTTGTAAAGTAATGTGCATATTAAATCATATATGTATGTATTTATGTAGGTGATACGGGACTTAATACGCTTAATACACATATCCTGTAGCATTCAACCTGTTGAACGAAAGGCCAGGCAGATCCATCTGCGTGGAGCCTTTTTAGTCAATAAATGTGATTCTCATCAGATTGGGTGGCTTTGGATGAATTGGATGGACAGGTGAAGCTGCACGGGTTCCTTTTGTATATAAGCATAGGATCGTGCATTAAGGATGCCCTCAAATCAAAAGAGCGGCGGCGTCGTGTTTTGTCCTTGTTTTATAGTTACCTCACAATTTGAGGACAGGGGGGGGGGCAGGTAAAATTCTGTGAAGATGTAATACATGCTTTATGCACGGGCCCCAGGTAGGGGAGTTTCGTCTTCGATTTGAGCAGGGAGTTTTCAGAGAGAGTTTTCAGTTTTATCTGTAAAAAACACCTCGTGTCAGCGTTCCAAAATACCCTGTCTCAACCTTCCCAAATATCTCGTCTCATCTTTCCCAAACATTCCGTCTCATCTTTCCAAATATCTCGTCTCATCTTTCCCAAATATCCTGTCTCAACTTTCCTAGGTAAACACCTCGTCTCAACTTTCCCAAATATCTCGTCTCATCTTTCCCAAATATCCCGTCTCAACTTTCCGAAATACCTCGTCTCATTTTTCCCAAATATCCCGTCTCATCTTTCCCAAATATCTCGTCTCATCTTTCCCAAATATCCTGTCTCAACTTTCCTAGGTAAACACCTCGTCTCAACTTTCCCAAATATATATGTAGCAAGTATTGATACATTTCTGACTACATTTGTGAAGTCTTACAAATGTTGGGCAATATTTAGATCAAGGTCTTTGCGAGGGGCAACGTATGTAATAAAGATGGCGATATAGCACTTTTAGGGGCTGCGGAGACGTACCTTCTCCATGGTTTCATCCCCCCTTTTCGTCTCTTCTGCCTTTGAAATCAAGGACATCTGCACATACATTTTCATCAAATCGAAACAAATACGTTCTATTTTTGCGATATGATCATCTTACAATGTGAATAAGCAATGAATTTCTGTCTCCATGTACATACTGAAATGACCTAGGCGTAAAGTAAATGGACAGAATTTCTTAGAAAATCGAGCAAATCAAGGGGTATCCTTCTATCTCTCAAATGTGAGATCCACTTTGGAATCATAAAGTTGATGCCGAGAAGTGAATAAATTCATTATTTCCTAGGACTTCCGAGGTAGAAAAGATGAGACTTTTTACTGTGAAGAATCTTTTTCTGAGGGAATTGAATCGGGTCCCTGTTCCTAGGCAGCACAACATTTCCCCGAATTCGGTAGGGTCGTGCGACAAGGATGGGGCACGTATTGGGGGTGAAGCGTGAAGAAACGGATTTTATGAACGTTTTGAAATTTCATCTCAAATTTCTGGAATTTCATTTCACCGTAGAATTAGGGAGATTCTTTACGTATGACCCGCACTACTCAAACCTTATTTTACCTGTTGACTACTCTCTCACTTCTACGTCTCAGATTTGAAGCAGAAAGGATACATGCGTGTGAATTTGTACTTTTGGATTTCGTTGTAAAATATTTTAAAAGTTTTAGAATACTTTCTTCCAAGGGATTCACGTGGGTAGACTAATTGTTGTCAAAATTTAGATTGGGGCGAATTGAGATGCCAGCCACTTACTTCGCTTAACGTAAATAAGTTGCTTTGTCTAGTTATAAATCCCTTTGTCATATTGCGTAAGAATAGGAAAAGTAAATTTGGCCGAGGCGACGATAAGCAGAAAGTTAATTCCTGCTTAAATTGGCTTCCCCGGATTTCTACACGAAATTTATTCCCTTTCTACCCACTTCGCCACTTGACATTTGTTATTTTCCTCAGGTTTTGAAGGAAAACACAGTCCACATCAAGATTGTAAAAGTACAATTTAAAATAAAGTTGCATACTTCTAAAATGCTTTACAGGTTCATGAGATACGTTAAGTTATCAATGTTGACGCCGCCTGCGCCACAAATGTACATAAACCGTCGACGTTGATCTCTTCAATTAACCTATAAAAAGCTAAATGTTCACATACTTAAATTGTAACTATAATTAAAAAATACAAGTAAATACATATGTATACTGTGTATATAAACGTAAGTTATGCTTTACTAACTAATGCTAAGGCTATGTGTGTACATATGTATGGTCGACCACGCACTATTTGGAAAAGCAGCCTGACAACGACAGTTTCCGGTCGCCGAATGACCCATAAATCAGCGGATTTATGGCAGAATTCATCATTGCTAGGACGAAAATACCCTCTTGAACCCATCTCGGGACGGAGGACAGGGCGCTGGCACGATTTACCATGTACCTGCACAAGAGTCAGAAGGATTCATAAATGAGTAACAATAATCAAAACGTGGGTCAGAATTTCCCTAAAATTGATCACATTATTTATGCACGTCCCCTTACCACGAGGTCATGACGACATATGGCGTCCAACAGAGGAGAAACGTTGCTAAAATGATAAACGTTGTCCGTAGCGTTTTCGCCCTAGCCCGCGCCAAGAGTCGGCCGCCGGCCTGATTTCGCCGCAGAAATGGAGGTGATCGACCCCTGGCAGACCCCGAAAGTGATACCACGTCAACATCAATTAGTCATGCTGGATCCAAATTCAAGCCGTGGGGGGGCCTTTCCCCTGGGGAAATTGGTACCTCGGGTAAAAGTTCGGGCTGAATTGCGTCGGCATCTGGGATAATTGAGGTAATCGTGTCAAGTGGAAAGTTACCATGCATTTTGGTCGTGTTCTGATCTTCTTCTTGATTAGATGGAGTTACTGATCTGTGTTCATCTAATAAAGGGAAAAATTTAGAGTTTTGAGATAACGTAACGTTTCTGACAAATTTCGTAAATCTTGTAAATCTTGCTGGGTCAAAAAATTGGGTATCTTTATAAAATTGAAGTGAATAATAAAAAGTAATGTATTCATCAAGGCGTAAATTTTCGTCCTGCTACAATTTTGAAGTCATAAATTTGCGTAATATTAAGTAGAACAATATTCCGTAACAATATTTTAGGCGCACTAAGCCAGTTTTGTTAAGATATGTACAAGTCGAAATGTGCGAATTTTTTTGCAACTTTTGAGTTTGGCCCAAAACTCATATGTACAAATTGATTACTGAAATTAGTTTATTATTTTAGACTAAATTTTGTACACTGCCACGAATTCCGATCCCTGTTGTCCAACATGTGTCCCTTTCCCCCGACGCCCTCTTGCGTGACATAATTTATGGACGGTCCCCTATCAGTTTGTCCGTCACGATCGAAATATGGATTTTTGGTTAAAACTTTTAGTTGTAACGGATTCGTTAATTAAAATCCGTTTAAGATTTACGTACTTATTCCGAATTTTATAATCAACAGGAAATTTTGTTCAAAATTTTTAATTTTGTTCAAAATTTTTAATTTTGTTCAAAATTTTTAATTTTGTTAAGGACGCGTCTCCCTGTTACCATTACCTATAGATAACTCGAGGTCAGGTTGTTGGGTGGTATCCTTGGCGTCGAATATTTTACAGAGGATGCTCCCATACGTGAAGATGATTACCGTCACTGGAAGAAAGTAGACCACGGAGAGAGAAAATATGCTATACGTCAGCTCATGGGCTTGATTCTGAAGGATAAATGAGGCTGCTACACATTGCTGGAAATTTGGGAAGTTTGGATGAGGAGTGACATTGTAAATGACGATCTGCAAAATTTCAGTTTTTTTCCATTTAGATCAGTTCTTCATTATTAAAATTCGGTGAAAAATGCGCCTTTGTGTTTTTATTTTTATTTTGCGACAGACTAAAAAATTTGGTGAAGTGAATTTTACTTTCATTAGTTTACCCGATTGCCTTTTAACCATACCTGTTCACTTTCATTCATATGACTGATTGTGATGGTGAATGAAAATGAATTTCCTGTAATGTGAATGAAAATGAGTGAATGATTCAGTCATTTTGAAATGACTGAATCATTCATCTGAACAGATGAATGCGTAATGAATGAAAGGATTTCTCACTCCTTTCATTTTTTACCTTATTCTTAACACATGGGGCGAAGTAAGAATGAAGTCAGATGAAGTGAAATGAACTGAGTTTGAAAGAAAATGACTGAACGTGAATGAAAATCTTCAGTTACAAATTATGCAAGATAACTGAACTTTGAATGAAAAAAGTTTTTTTTAAACAGGTATGCTTTACACGTTCATACATAATTTCCTCACCTGTGGTGCCGCACACACCGTCGCTCCCACCCAGGCCAGTCCCCCCATCAATTTAACCCTATCCTCCGCCCCCGCCAACTTTAAGGGATACATTATCGCGAAATATTTATCCACCGTGATCCCCGTTACCACCAGAGAGCTCAAGTATTGCGAAAAAGCTTGCAAAAATTGGCATCCTTTACACAACAGGTTTCCGCCATACCACTGGATCGTAATTCGCCACAGAATTTCCATCAACATGGCGGTAAAAGTGACGAGAAGGTCGGCAATGCAGAGGTGCCGGTACAGATTCGTGATTCTACTGGTCCGGTGGCGCTTATAGTATCGGATGACACTGATAAGCTCGGAAACATTCAGGGTGGCAGAGATGATAAAGAGGAGGGAGTAGATAAGCACAAAATTGATGGAAAGTTGACTTAATTCGCGAAATGAGGCGGGTTCAGGGAACAAGGTCGTGGTGTTATGGGGTACTTCGAATCCACGGTAATTTCGAAAGGGTTCTCCGCCATCTTGAAAGACGGAGGTTCCCACGATGGCGGAATATTTGAAGTGAGGCATTTTGAGGAGAAAGTTGTGTCTTGTAAGAGAGATTAGGTTCAAATGGTGGGTTTCAGAAGGAGGGGAAAAATTTGCAAATATGGGTACGTGA